ATCATATTCATTTATTTTTTTAATTTTTTAATAATTAACATAGTGGATGGTAAATATATTTAGGACCTGCTCTGGTCCAAGTTTTTCTGTGGTTTCCTCGGACCACTTAGACAAATGCTAGGGAGATAATAATATTTACTTCGTTCGTCCCATCCTTCCAAGTAAAAAAATATGACCATACGTACCCGATTGTATTGTACGAAATAATATGTAATTTTCCCCTCCATTTTATCGTAGTACTTACTACGAGAAGGAAAATAAAGGCAAAATACAATTGCTCCACAATTAATTAATTAAATTAAGATGATGAATATCAATACCGATCACCACACTTTCATAATCTATAAACTTTTGTTGGATACACTGATATAGTAATTTAATAATAATAACTACAAGAAAATATCGAACCGTAGTACTTCAGTGCAGTTATTTAGAAGAGTGTTTTTAATTAAATTTATCTTCACTCCGTTATCTTCAACAAGAAAGATTTTACAAAAAGATAGAACACATACCTATTTTATTTTTGAAACGAATTATCCGGTTATTGAAAAGCCTTACTATGTAGAAAAAAGAGACAAAGTATCCATTGTAAACAATAAATCGATTGTTAATAATTAAATATATCTATAAGTGCGCACGTAAGCCGTCATGTACTTATGCCGAGATAAGTTTTCTTGATATAAATTAAAGCCGAAACATTCGGATAGTACAGTGATTTGGATATCTTTGCAAGTTTAAAATGAAGTTCCTTGTTGTCCTTTTTGGCCTTGTTTGTGCCTTAGCCCATGGTAAGTATTATTACAATTAATTTAATTAATTATTCAAGTATTTCTCCGTTTTATATTAATATGTTTTAATAACTGTATAGGGTTACCGAACGTAGTAAAGGTAGACTCACTTCGTTCGGTCTATGCAAAGGATTTAGAAACCCTGCCATCCGACAGTGACGATACCAGGGTAGCAAACGGTGATAACGCTTTCGAAGACGAATTTCCTTACCAGGTTTCCATTCAGTGGGGTGACAATGAAACGCCCACCCACCTGTGCGGTGGTAGTATCATTTCAGAATCGGTGGTACTCACGGCTGCCCAATGTCATTATGACTATGGTACCTATTCCATCGTTGCTGGAATTCTCAATCGAGCCAGAAATGGCGAATCTGCTCAAAGGCGAGGTGTCGACAAATTTGTCATTCACGAAAGGTTTTCTGGGTAATTAATTAATTATGGAACTTTATCGATTACGTTTTTTAATTAATTCCATTTTGTTCACCCTTCAACAGTGGAGTAGGTCTATATGACATTGCCCTAATAAAGGTTGATTCACCCTTCGAGTTGACATCTTCCGTTCAACCTGTCCGAATTCCTAGACAAGGACTCGCTCCTTCTGGAACCGGCGTCGTTTCTGGATGGGGAAGAACGTTTTATAATTCTGTTCTTGCAAGCATCATGCAATACGCTACCGTACAGATTATAACAAACAACGGTTAGTGGAACTCTCATTCTAAATGTTACACATTCATAAACTATACAGTGATTATTCCTGATAAACAAAAAAATCTTTCTCTAGAGTGCGCTCGAACATTGGTCAGTAATGTTGGATCTTCCAGTCCTTTGGACGATACCCAATTTTGTACCAGTGCTCGCGTGACTGGTAGAACGGGAAGAACGTCAATTTGCGAAGGTGACATTGGTGGCCCACTGGTCCAAGGCTTTGTTCAGGTGGGCATTATCTCTTGGGGTGTCACACCATGTGGAACCACTTTTTCTCCATCGGTCTACACAAAAGTTTCTACGTATTCTAACTGGATTAACGCTAAACTTGCACAATTGTGAGGTTTGCCGCTCCTCTTTAATCACATAAGTAAATCTGTACACCAAACGGTGCATTGAATAAAATTGCTCAGAAATAAATAATGTCTATTCATTTAATCAACCGATTACTCACTTTAATGTTGCTAAAATAACCCCCTCCCTATCCTCTCGCAAATTCTGGCTAATACGATAGCCCTAATATAAGATGAATGGAAGTCCTTCGGGCACTCAGCACAGTTCCGGGAGATTGTGGACTTCCATTGCCCGAGTTGGTAAAATACAGGATCGAAGCGTTACAGTGATAGGTGCTTGAACCAGTTAGAATCCACAGAACCCAACCCCGGGTTAGAATCAGTTATATGAAGCAACAGGAGCTAGGTACTGCTTTATTTTAGCAATAACTTAGATAAGGCTGAGGCGATTATATAACTTCCACCTAATCCTCCCAAAGAAGATCCATCAGTCGAAAAGATCACTTGGAAAAGATCACCAGAGTAGATACTACAACAACCCACTATAAAAATCAGTTAACAATCATAATATATTATATAAACAGTATAATCCAACACCCTGGCCCTGGTATCAAATCAATTTTTAAAATATTAATGCTCAAAACTGTCTTTGATCAAATTGAAAAAACCAGCATGCGGAAAATAGATAGATTATGGAAGAGAGCAGACTTGTAACATTCTTAAATATCGGATCATCCATCATTATTTAGTAGAAGACTTTACAAGTATCACGATGCTTGTTCTATGCTCTATTTCTGAGCGATCTACTGAGATACCACGAGTGGATCTTACATCAGGAACTGACAACGATTCCATGTCACCATAAATGGTTGAGTTAACAGTCTTCTTCTGTCTTCACACCTCATCTTTTTCACCCCAATCACCATTCACATATCCTCACGATTCCTTAAAGGAGACTGAAGAGGACCTTACTTCCTGCTCCCCGGCGTAGTTCGGAGGGGCTGCGTTAGTAGCTGATGGGAACCCAAACGTTTTTTAGTTTTTTTTTTTTACATCATTACTATTGCATCCAAAGTAGATACGTAACTAACCACTTTATTTCACTGTTGTACTTACAACTAGAATGGGAATAAAGCCAAAATACAATTTTCCCACAGTTAACTAAAATAGAATAAAATATCAACACTCAACAACACGCACTTTTATAATGTACCAATTTTTGTTTGATACACTAATTTAATAATGATAATTACCTAAAAAAATATCAAATCACAGTATTTTGATCTAATTGTTTAGATGAATCATTGTGTTTTTAATTAAATTTTCCTTCACTCCAATATCTTCAACAAAAAAAAAAGATTTTACAAAAAGATAGAATATGTACCTAGCAATCTAGGAACTTTAAGAAAGCGTATTACAGAATTAGTTAATGTAAGGATTGATTATGGATAAAAATCTTCAACAAAATCGATAAATTAACCAATATGATTTGATACAAATAAAAAAGAATCGACAATTCACATTATAAAATAAAAAATACTGCAAAATAAAATGCTGTAAATAATATACTTGCGACTTATTAATTGATCCAATTTACGTAAGGCGCATTAATTCCTAATTTCTTGGAATGAATTTAAATCGCAAACAAAAAATAAACTTCAGTGATAAAAAACAACTTTTCATGACAATATCATCACTTGTGAGATATGTTCACCTCCAGAATGGTAAATTTAATATCAAATAAATTTATGTTCAATCAGGTCAGTTATAAATATTAAATAAACTACCCCAAATTACCTTAANTGCACGTTTTAATCTTTGTTAAAACACTGTAAGTATCTTAGAAATATATCTCAACAGATAATTATGTAGCCAAGTTTAAAGTTGTAAGTGTCGTATTTTCAGTCAGTAGCTAGCACAAAATGGCTGTTATTGATTTTTGTTTAAATTTAAACTTATTTATTAATGATTGCTGACGATGATATGAAGATTGATCAACCGCTTTTATTATAAAGGTTAATCATACATTAAAAACGTGATTTCTTTTTTCAAATAACATTTTTTTATGTTTGACATTTTAGAGATTCATTAAGACAGTACAGTACGGTGTTGCCATTAGATTAGAAGCTACTGTGAGTTTTATTGATTTAATTCTGACGTTTCTAATAGATAATTGTTTTTTTTTTAATTCTCATTCACAAATACTTATTTTAATTAATTTAAGGGCACAAGCTCCCAGGTCTTCATTATTCTATTTATATGTATACATATAATACAACACTTGATTTTTTTAGTGGGTGTACATAATAGTGATTAGGTACTAAAATACTGTTAAAGATGTTTTCAAATTCCAATGAAAGTATAACGAAATTATTGTTTTCAGGTAATGAACTAGATTTGTAACTGAAGACAGACTATACTGATCATGAAAATGGTTTTGTCTCAACGACAGCGAGAGGAGCTGTAAGTACCTATTCTGTTTTGTAGTAAAAAACTTTTTTAAACGCTTAGGAGACAGTGCATATCCTTTGTTTCTAATATATTACATCAACAAATCAGCAAGCAATTAATATTTCACTCTCAGTTATCCAGTTGCCATAATTATTTTAAACAGTTTTATTTATTCAGTAGGATAAAAAATATATGGTATGTAAGATAAAAGTNATTTTAGATTGTATATACAAAAACGGTTAACCGCCAAAATAATTGTTAACTATATTGGAATAATTTTGTCTTAAATTATTAGAATAAATACAAGAAACAACAAAAGAGTTACAGAACCCCTTTTTTTAGAAAACTCGCTGTTATGGGGCTCATTTTCATAATTTTATTGACCCTAGTCCTTAATCCTAATCATAAATGAGTGTGTTAAACAGCACTGCAATGCAATATGTATGACACTCTTGTATTCAATCTATCGCTTGCTAAGATTAGATAAATGGCTTTCTTATTAACGGTTCTAGTGGGATTTCTTTTTTAATTAGGTTTAATACATAAAGAAAAGTTAATTAACTTCAGCAATGATGATAGTAATGGCCAGACCTTTATTCGATAATATTTGTTTGTATCTTTTAGTAGATGCATACAACAAACAAAATAATAATGGCATAGTGAAAAATACATTTAATTAATGATTGTTCACAGTTTTATTCAAGTTATAAGAATGTTGTATATAATGAGAAATAGATCAGATTACAGTCTTTTTGTTTTTATTGATTGTGGTTTAGTTTTACAATAATTTCATAGTAGAAAAATTACAGTTCCCATTTATTCCCTTTATTTAAAAGTACAATTAAAACCAGGATAATGGCAAAAAAGGTTTATTTCCCAAATCAACGCCAATGTTCCATCTTTTGGTGTAAAGGCTTTACCAAGGTACGTTTTTGAGTCAATATTTGATTTATATGCGAAAAACGAATTATTGACTTATTGATAAAGCCTGCCCTTATGCTGGACTTAATTTTACACAGAAATATTACAATTTAACTTTTAATTAATATTTTTATTTTAGTATGTTGAAAGATCAAAGGGAACACATTTTATCAAACTGGCAGTTTATACTGTGCTTAAAATTCTTTTTAAAGTCGTTTAAATTGCACAGAAGATGCTCTCTAGGACACCCAAGTGGATAAACAATTCTTTCTTGATGCAACGTGAGCACTTTCAGCTGGTCTTCACACCTAAAAAATAATTCAATTTGATAAAGTTTCAATAAATTCGTAAGTGTGTTGCACCTGTAAAGAACCAGCGCTAAATTCGTTCCGAATGCATCAATTTTACTGACTTTCCATTGCCTATTTGAAATTTTTTGAAAATTCTTATGTGTCAGTGGTAAAACATCTTTGTAAAGACCAAAATGTGCTATCATTTTTAATAATGTCCCTGAATGGGTAAAATATATCTTTGCCTTAGGATATGGATCTTCACTAACAAAATAAATAAGTCACAAATGAATTACTTGTACACATAAAATTATTTTACTTCTCAAAAAAGTTTATGAGATCTTGAAAAGCAACACAGGCCTGGTTATGATTGAGGCTGTTCCCATATCCATCAATCCAATAATATTTCAAATCTTCATAGTATTCTAACACCTGTTCACCTCCAGAATGGTAAATTTAATATCAAATAAATTTATGTTCAATCAGGTCAGTTATAAATATTAAATAAACTACCCCAAATTACCTTAAATGTTTCTTTATCTAAAAGACTGCACNCTTGGAATGAATTTATATCGCAAACAAAAAATAAACTTCAGTGATAAAAAACAACTTTTCATGACAATATCATCACTTGTGAGATATATAAGAAGTATCATTATAATTGTAAGTAGGTACACCGTTATATTAAAAATCTTGTACCTTGAATCAGAGGTAAATTTAATATCAAATAAATTTATGTTCAATCAGGTCAGTTATAAATATTAAATAAACTACCCCAAATTACCTTAAATGTTTCTTTATCTAAAAGACTGCACCACACTGATTCCTTTCGCTTTTGCCATGCTGTTTCAAAAGAGCACATGGTATATATAAGATGTACATCTTCTACAAGCAAAAAAAAAACAATTCAGATAATAAAATGTAACATGAGTCTCATACTAACCCATTGTGGTTAATAAACCAAAACCTAATGTTTTATTTAAACTTTCAATTATCTGTTTTCCATATTTTTGTTTAAGTAACTCTCTTTCTTTTAAGGTTTCTGGTCTTTTTTTAATAGTTGTTTGCCATTTTGTGCAAAGCTTGTAAAACTGAAAATAAAAATTAAGAAATTGTAGAGTAAAGTTGTTTTATCTGTTAGTAACTTGTGTTTACTCTCAAGACAGGATCTTTTTCTAATGATTCAGGATACCAAATGTCTCTGCTAACAAATTTACCAAAGAGCCCCTTTGTAAAACATGAAGCACTTGCTTTGGTTCTTTGAGTTTTTGTGTATTTGAACTGCAAAAGTAAAATATAATTTAAAAGTATGTACCATAAAAGGTAAATAACATCTTACAAAATAACTTGTGTTGCTGTATATGTGACTTAAAATCTCTGGAAATCTTTTCTGCATTCGTTCAGCTAGAAGAACCATCTCATCTTCTCCTTCAAGCCTTAAATTTTTAGCTTCCAATTCCTTGACATCCATGTGCCACTTATCAAAACCATTTATGCATTTAGTTGTTTTATCTAAAACATTTTGTCTCTTTAAAACTGCAAGAATGTTTAAAAGAACTTACTTAATAAGTGTTTATTTTGAATTATTTGATCCCTTATATGTGACAAACGTTGATTTGCTTTATTAATAAATCCTGCACCAGGATTTCTTGTTCCATGCCTAATTAGATACCAAATCTTAAGTGGAGTACAACCTATAATGTTTTATTAAATTAGTAGAAGGAGCAATTAGCTGTGTCATTGTTTTGTGTCACCTTTAACTTCAATTTTATGATCACTTAAATTAGCGATTAACCTGTAGGGCGTCTTAGTCCCCAGATATAAATTATATTCCGGAAAAATATTACAATTGTCGGTTTTAATTAACACTATTAAAGAATAATAAACAAAGATTTGTAAAAGATATAGAGAGCACCTTTCTTTACACCTTCGATACTGCCAGAAATACATGAGGAAAATAATATATAACCATTTGTCGCCAACTTTTATACACTATTCTTTTAATTTAATGTTTAAAGAAACTTATTCAAGTTAATATTTTATATGAAGAATAGTTTTTATAATTACTCTTAAATTTTTTTATACATAACCCTCAAATTCTGACGTTTAATTACAGCAAATTACAGTCTAGTTTCAGCTATTGTACTATAGGTGGAAGTTAGATCGATAACCAGCTATTGAAGCGCAGTTGCCAGTTACAACTAAATAGTTACTAATTAATAACTTAATTATGAAAACAAGAACATGTAAAAAAAATAAAACAAACTAATATATAAGAACGTGTAAAAGTAATAAAACAAACTAATAAATTTATTAGTATCAAGTAGTACACTATTGAACATTAATTTTTCGTGCGTTGTGTGATTACAATAAATTCTCTCCATCAGGCTTTCTACATTCCATTCTACATTCCCTTTTTTATGAACAATTATGAGATACGACGTTGTAGGTGTTGTGAAGCTTTTTTTTTCTTTTCACCAACTCGATAAGTTCTTAATACTTTGTAAATATATTTTTAAGTACCTGTTTGCCCATTTACGAATATTGCANTCGAGATGTAAAACTATTTGAAGAATAGTTTTTATAATTACTCTTAAATTTTTTTATACATAACCCTCAAATTCTGACGTTTAATTACAGCAAATTACAGTCTAGTTTCAGCTATTGTACTATAGGTGGAAGTTAGATCGATAACCAGCTATTGAAGCGCAGTTGCCAGTTACAACTAAATAGTTACTAATTAATAACTTAATTATGAAAACAAGAACATGTAAAAAAAATAAAACAAACTAATATATAAGAACGTGTAAAAGTAATAAAACAAACTAATAAATTTATTAGTATCAAGTAGTACACTATTGAACATTAATTTTTCGTGCGTTGTGTGATTACAATAAATTCTCTCCATCAGGCTTTCTACATTCCATTCTACATTCCCTTTTTTATGAACAATTATGAGATACGACGTTGTAGGTGTTGTGAAGCTTTTTTTTTCTTTTCACCAACTCGATAAGTTCTTAATACTTTGTAAATATATTTTTAAGTACCTGTTTGCCCATTTACGAATATTGCAATATACTAGGGGCTTTCAATAATTATCAAACATTAATGTAAAATTGATTTCAACTCACTACCTACAGTTTACCTCAAGTTAATGATGAAATATTTTTCTTTTTAAGAACTTTTTTGACGGCTACTAGCTTCAAGGGTACCAATTATTAATGAAAAACACGTAAAAATCAAATTTAAGCATATATTAATCATTTAAATCAGTACTTCACAAAATTTAAAATATGTAATAACACAAAACGATATTGTTCAATTGCAAAAAAAAACAATATAACAATAACATTTAAACGAAACAGCTATAAAAATATAAAACAATTAGTCAATTATTAATTAATAACCATCAATATTAGAATACCACACATCACGTGCTAGTATTCCAAATTATAAAAAAAGGAATTCGTATTAAACTTTGTCAAAAAAAAATAATAAAATAGATAGTAGTAATAATAATACAATNCGATAACAAACAATAATAATAGTTATTTAAATAGCAATCTAGGAACTTTAAGAAAGCGTATTACAGAATTAGTTAATGTAAGGATTGATTATGGATAAAAATCTTCAACAAAATCGATAAATTAACCAATATGATTTGATACAAATAAAAAAGAATCGACAATTCACATTATAAAATAAAAAATACTGCAAAATAAAATGCTGTAAATAATATACTTGCGACTTATTAATTGATCCAATTTACGTAAGGCGCATTAATTCCTAATTTCTTGGAATGAATTTAAATCGCAAACAAAAAATAAACTTCAGTGATAAAAAACAACTTTTCATGACAATATCATCACTTGTGAGATATATAAGAAGTATCATTATAATTGTAAGTAGGTACACCGTTATATTAAAAATCTTGTACCTTGAATCAGACACGTAGATACTTTCAACGATATAAAAAAATAATAATAAAAAAGGAAAAGACAAAAATAAAAATGTTCGTTTTTGGTAAAGTATTTCACTGCACCCTTCGACAATAATATCCTAATTCCTTACATTTTTGGCATAAATGTTGAGGGTGGACTTTGGATTGGTCGGAAACATCTAAACCATCGGGTTTTTCCAATGGTCTCTGAAATACGACATAAAAATAATACAAAATCAGGAAAAAACCTTTTGAACGAACCTGCTTATGAGGAAAAACATTTATGTGACATTTTATACATTCCTGGCCCATATTCGACCAGGAATTCCCCGACATCCATTTTCTCTTACATTTCGGACATTTGTACTCCCCGAAACAGCGTTTTCTCCCCTGGTAAGGGGTTTTCCCTTCTCCTTTTGGTCGAGCCTTAAAATTATCGGATAATTTAGATTTGGAATTCATTTTCCTCCCTTATGTTGTAAAGAATACATCCGTACATGTGTTTTACAAGTTGTTCGAGGGTCTACTCTTTGGACCACGAAATGGGTCTTTTATATGGGCCCCTTCTTAAGTCGATGATTAATTTTCGTAACCAATCAATTTGAAATTTGCAGTAACCGACATTATGGCCCACCCAATCATTTCACACGTAATGATTCAATCCCGTGACAGTCTAAAGAACGTTCCAAAGAAGCCGCAGGATGTTGACACCCCCAATTGAACATGATATCGATTACCCAGCCCAATTGATTAATAAAATAACACACGTTATCGATTACCAAAACATTCGTGGAACATGACAACCAGTTTCTTATTTTTTCTTTTCAACATGTTTAGAAGAGATTATGATATAACAAGCATTAAGGCGAAGATTCACGTAAAATATGTCCCAATATCGATCCTCAATCCTTGTGTATACATCATAAAGGAAACCTCCGTGCAACATTTCAACTATCTAGGTTCAAGGGTTTGGCCTGGATGTTGATGACTCAATGGCAAAGTGAGTCAGGACTTTTCTTTTTTAGATAAAACAGTCGATCAACTTTCGAATAAGCGTAAATTTCTTATCTAATCAGTAATCAACTTGACGGTTTAAAGTAATAAAGAATCAAAATTGTAATATACGTAGTTTTTTAACCGACCGATTCATGTTTGAGTTTTAATTGCTAATATCTCGTTTCCTGTCACAAAGTTTCAATTTTCTTACATAACACCATCATCATCCACTCGTGTTTTCAATTTTAAAATAAGGCGATTGCTTTTCTTATTTACGGCTTCGATATTTAGGCTAAAGTGACTTTTATTGTGCTTTAATCACTCTACCATAGTTTAGAAACTGATTGAACAAGAAAAACAGAAAATTATATTAAAAGATTATTAAAATTACCTCTCGTCGTCGATCAGTACTGTGTGTACCGGTATGGTAACCGATAACGAGTTAGTTGGTTGGTCATTAGCTTGAACAATTATGTCTTTGTTCGAGATGTAAAACTATGTGGTATATAAATACATGTTAAAGTAATCTACGACTGGATTACACCCATCTTTTCATATGCAGTTCGCAGATTTAATTTATCGTTAGTTAGTCTATCAGTTCTGAAATGAGTAAGCGAACAAGATAAGAGATTGTTGTATTTCGCTCTTATAACTATAACAGGTTGCCACATTACATAAATCAAAACAAACCAGTCTACGCAGTATAATAAAAATAACTGAATAACTGATTTCGGTCCTGTTTAATGATGCTTTAATGATAACAGGCAGGGCCGTCGTGACAAAATTCTGTCCGTCAACTTATTTTCGGACCCCCCTCCCAAAACACCTAGGTTCAAGGGGATTCCCCCCCGACAATAAATCGATAAATTACTTTGGATAAGGGGTGATCAAGTTTGACGTTATAGTCTTGTTATGTGGGGGGATGTCGATGGTCAAGGTTGCTCTAAGTGGTTTTTAGAATAGGAAAGTATTCTTAGAATGAAACAAATATCCGTTAATTAGTCACCACGACATAAGTGTTGATTAGAACGGAATTGGTAGAGGACAGGAGAGGCCAAACGTAGGGAAGCGAAGGCAGGTTCAAAAATGAATGAATTTTGTGTTATGTAGTTTTCTTACCAAAGGACAATCCTTGATGTAGTGTCCTTTTTGAAAGCACAGATGACACAAATAAGTCGGTGGAGGTCTTTTAAAACTGCGCCTGTCGAAAAGGGTCAACTCCGCCAACTGACCACTAAGGGGGTCTATAAGGGAGTCGCTTATATTGGTAGCCGCATAGGTGGTACTGCTGTAGAATGGATTGTAAGAATATTCGGCCGACGTATTAGGAAACGGTCCCCAAGGTGACGATAACAACTTCGACTAAAATTCAATTGTTTGTTGTACTTATTAGTAGAAATTAATTACGAAATTTTACCTGTTGTTCTGTCGCTTTTTGATTCTGATCGAACGTCAGGTATTGATAGCAGTTAGATGAGGGGTAGGAAGAGTATATCGAGGTCACCGACCCTGTTGAAAAACTTTGACGTTTCGGAACAAATAATGAAGATATTGAGGACGGTTGGGAGACCATTGCTGCAGTTGGGGACATATTTACATAACTGCAAAGTAGAACGTCGGTCGATATTGTGGTAGTACTTGACTAGGTACCTGATTACATATTAGATAAATTTTACCATTTAATTTTTAAACGTATCATTAATTTTTCTGGATAGGATTCTTTTTTAATTATTATTGTAAGTAATTAATTAGGTACCTCCTGCGGGAACTTCTTGTGTTTGTCTATTTATCAAAATAATCTAAACTTTGATCGCCCACAGTGTAATTACAAGTTCTACTTTATATTGGTAAATTTGACTTAATAAATGTTCTAACAACTGCTATAGAACGACGAGTAAACAATTTCTTTTCAGTTTATAAACAAACACCAATTTTGATGGGACCATTGTAAATGCGTAAGTCATCGAAAACATGTTAATATAATTAAACACTTATCATCATCATCACAAGAAGTAAACAAAAAAATAATCTAAATTTAATTAACTCATCGTTACATCTTTTCGTAATTTTACGAACGATAGGATTATTTTACTGTTGAAGTCCGCGCTAAAGCCAAAAAAGAGCGCAACATAAAATAAACCAAAAATTAACCCAATTCTGGGCATCATTTAACAAAAATTAAATTACTAATCGATAATAACAAGCTTACCTTTAAAAATTTCAGTTTACCAAAATTTCTCCACAATCGTTCAATATCACATTATGATGGGCCTACATATCTGTATTAAACGATATATTTAAATAAAAAAAAAATTATAAACGGTAGTTAAATATGATGTTACGTTATTGATGACCACAGTAACACAGAAACTGAATTTTAAAATAACACTTTGCGATATCGTAGTACTATACAGCAAAATTTAAAAATAGCACTCACGAACCTGAAACTCTGCCGTGTGCGCGAACTTTATTAACCAAATATTATATGTAATATCCACAGACAGGGATAATAACTTGAAAAAAAACGAACTTATTTCGTTAATTTTTACCGAAACTCCGGGGTACGTCCTCTCATATTCTCTCTCATCGAAACTAAATGACGAAACTCTTTTCTTCCTGTAATGTCCCTGGGTAAGTACCAGACGGACCCACACATTAGTGCAGCACAAATACCAGCCAAAGATACGTATACATATACATATATATGTACTGCATACTATAGACATATGATATGTCTGTATGTGTGCGTGTGTGACTATTTGTGTATTTGTACATTATGAGAAAATTGTTTATGTGTATAAGCCCGAGAATAAAATGCAGGACCGGACAGAGACACGATCTCTATACACATAATAGTAAAATTAATTTTAGCTTACTGAAATGTATTGTATACTAACCTTTCTTACGATTAGTAAGTCTGGTATTCCAATTGTGTACCTATGTATTTCTTGTAAAAAAACATGCGCTTTATTTAGGAACTTTATGCATTGCCCTTATTTATTTATTTTTTTTGAAAGACTTACCGGGCGTCGGGCCCAAAATGTCCTAGGTCCGCCCCTGAATGAGTGCACGCAGTGGCGTAGCCACTGGGGATTTACAGGTTCAAGGTCATCCACCCCCATTATTAAAAATGCGAGAAACAATTGCTGTCAGGTACAGGCAATGCGCTAGAAACAATAAGCAATGTGTTTCCAATGATCGTATCATATTCATTTATTTTTTTAATTTTTTTAATAATTAACATAGTGGATGGTAAATATATTTAGGACCTGCTCTGGTCCAAGTTTTTCTGTGGTTTCCTCGGACCACTTAGACAAATGCTAGGGAGATAATAATATTTACTTCGTTCGTCCCATCCTTCCAAGTAAAAAAATATGACCATACGTACCCGATTGTATTGTACGAAATAATATGTAATTTTCCCCTCCATTTTATCGTAGTACTTACTACGAGAAGGAAAATAAAGGCAAAATACAATTGCTCCACAATTAATTAATTAAATTAAGATGATGAATATCAATACCGATCACCACACTTTCATAATCTATAAACTTTTGTTGGATACACTGATATAGTAATTTAATAATAATAACTACAAGAAAATATCGAACCGTAGTACTTCAGTGCAGTTATTTAGAAGAGTGTTTTTAATTAAATTTATCTTCACTCCGTTATCTTCAACAAGAAAGATTTTACAAAAAGATAGAACACATACCTATTTTATTTTTGAAACGAATTATCCGGTTATTGAAAAGCCTTACTATGTAGAAAAAAGAGACAAAGTATCCATTGTAAACAATAAATCGATTGTTAATAATTAAATATATCTATAAGTGCGCACGTAAGCCGTCATGTACTTATGCCGAGATAAGTTTTCTTGATATAAATTAAAGCCGAAACATTCGGATAGTACAGTGATTTGGATATCTTTGCAAGTTTAAAATGAAGTTCCTTGTTGTCCTTTTTGGCCTTGTTTGTGCCTTAGCCCATGGTAAGTATTATTACAATTAATTTAATTAATTATTCAAGTATTTCTCCGTTTTATATTAATATGTTTTAATAACTGTATAGGGTTACCGAACGTAGTAAAGGTAGACTCACTTCGTTCGGTCTATGCAAAGGATTTAGAAACCCTGCCATCCGACAGTGACGATACCAGGGTAGCAAACGGTGATAACGCTTTCGAAGACGAATTTCCTTACCAGGTTTCCATTCAGTGGGGTGACAATGAAACGCCCACCCACCTGTGCGGTGGTAGTATCATTTCAGAATCGGTGGTACTCACGGCTGCCCAATGTCATTATGACTATGGTACCTATTCCATCGTTGCTGGAATTCTCAATCGAGCCAGAAATGGCGAATCTGCTCAAAGGCGAGGTGTCGACAAATTTGTCATTCACGAAAGGTTTTCTGGGTAATTAATTAATTATGGAACTTTATCGATTACGTTTTTTAATTAATTCCATTTTGTTCACCCTTCAACAGTGGAGTAGGTCTATATGACATTGCCCTAATAAAGGTTGATTCACCCTTCGAGTTGACATCTTCCGTTCAACCTGTCCGAATTCCTAGACAAGGACTCGCTCCTTCTGGAACCGGCGTCGTTTCTGGATGGGGAAGAACGTTTTATAATTCTGTTCTTGCAAGCATCATGCAATACGCTACCGTACAGATTATAACAAACAACGGTTAGTGGAACTCTCATTCTAAATGTTACACATTCATAAACTATACAGTGATTATTCCTGATAAACAAAAAAATCTTTCTCTAGAGTGCGCTCGAACATTGGTCAGTAATGTTGGATCTTCCAGTCCTTTGGACGATACCCAATTTTGTACCAGTGCTCGCGTGACTGGTAGAACGGGAAGAACGTCAATTTGCGAAGGTGACATTGGTGGCCCACTGGTCCAAGGCTTTGTTCAGGTGGGCATTATCTCTTGGGGTGTCACACCATGTGGAACCACTTTTTCTCCATCGGTCTACACAAAAGTTTCTACGTATTCTAACTGGATTAACGCTAAACTTGCACAATTGTGAGGTTTGCCGCTCCTCTTTAATCACATAAGTAAATCTGTACACCAAACGGTGCATTGAATAAAATTGCTCAGAAATAAATAATGTCTATTCATTTAATCAACCGATTACTCACTTTAATGTTGCTAAAATAACCCCCTCCCTATCCTCTCGCAAATTCTGGCTAATACGATAGCCCTAATATAAGATGAATGGAAGTCCTTCGGGCACTCAGCACAGTTCCGGGAGATTGTGGACTTCCATTGCCCGAGTTGGTAAAATACAGGATCGAAGCGTTACAGTGATAGGTGCTTGAACCAGTTAGAATCCACAGAACCCAACCCCGGGTTAGAATCAGTTATATGAAGCAACAGGAGCTAGGTACTGCTTTATTTTAGCAATAACTTAGATAAGGCTGAGGCGATTATATAACTTCCACCTAATCCTCCCAAAGAAGATCCATCAGTCGAAAAGATCACTTGGAAAAGATCACCAGAGTAGATACTACAACAACCCACTATAAAAATCAGTTAACAATCATAATATATTATATAAACAGTATAATCCAACACCCTGGCCCTGGTATCAAATCAATTTTTAAAATATTAATGCTCAAAACTGTCTTTGATCAAATTGAAAAAACCAGCATGCGGAAAATAGATAGATTATGGAAGAGAGCAGACTTGTAACATTCTTAAATATCGGATCATCCATCATTATTTAGTAGAAGACTTTACAAGTATCACGATGCTTGTTCTATGCTCTATTTCTGAGCGATCTACTGAGATACCACGAGTGGATCTTACATCAGGAACTGACAACGATTCCATGTCACCATAAATGGTTGAGTTAACAGTCTTCTTCTGTCTTCACACCTCATCTTTTTCACCCCAATCACCATTCACATATCCTCACGATTCCTTAAAGGAGACTGAAGAGGACCTTACTTCCTGCTCCCCGGCGTAGTTCGGAGGGGCTGCGTTAGTAGCTGATGGGAACCCAAACGTTTTTTAGTTTTTTTTTTTTACATCATTACTATTGCATCCAAAGTAGATACGTAACTAACCACTTTATTTCACTGTTGTACTTACAACTAGAATGGGAATAAAGCCAAAATACAATTTTCCCACAGTTAACTAAAATAGAATAAAATATCAACACTCAACAACACGCACTTTTATAATGTACCAATTTTTGTTTGATACACTAATTTAATAATGATAATTNATGATGTACGAATTTGTGTTTAATACACCACCATAATAAGGATAAGTACATACAAAAGATATCAAATCACAGTATTTTGATCTAATTGTTTAGATGAATCATTGTGTTTTTAATTAAATTTTCCTTCACTCCAATATCTTCAACAAAAAAAAAAGATTTTACAAAAAGATAGAATATGTACCTTTCTTATTTTTCCAATGAATTTTAGAGTTATTGAAAAGCCTTCCAATGTAGAAAAAAAGAGACAAAGGATCCATTTTAAACAATTAATCGATTTTAATTAAATATATCTACAAGTGTGTACGTAATTTGTCTTGGCCGAGATAAGTTTCCTTGATATAAATTAAAGCCGAAGGATTCACATTTCACAGTAGTTTGGATACATTTCCAAGTTTAAAATGAAGTTCCTCGTTGTCCTTTTTGGCCTTGTATGTGCCTTAGCCCATGGTAAGTATTATTACAATTAATTTAATCAATTATTAATGTATTTGTTCTTTTTTTTTAATATGTTTTAATAACTGTATAGGATTACCGAACGTAGTAAAGGTAGACTCACTCCATCCGGCTTATGCAAATGATTTAGAAACCCTGCCATCCGACAGTGATGACACCCGGATAACAAACAGTGAGGACGCTTTCGAAAACCAATTCCCTTACCAGGTTTCCATTGAGTGGGGTGACAATGAACCGCCCGAACACTTCTGCGGTGGTAGCATCATTTCAGAATCGGTGGTACTCACGGCTGCCCAATGTCGTTATAACTATGGTACCTATTCCATCGTTGCAGGAATTTTCAATCGAGCCAAAAAAAACGAAACTGCTCAAAGGCGACGTGTTGACAGATTTTACGTTCACTCAAGCTATTCTAAGTAATTAATTAATTACAAACCTTTATCGATTACGCTTTATAATTAATTTCATTTTGTTCGCCCTTCAACAGTAGAGTAGGCCTGTATGACATTGCCCTAATAAAGGTGAACTCACCCTTCGTGTTTAACTCTTACGTTCAACCTGTTCAACTTCCTAAACGAAAAACAATTCCTTCTGGAGTTGGCGTCATTAGTGGATGGGGAAGGACGTTTTATAATTCTGTTCTCTCAGACGTTCTGACATACGCCAGCGTACGAATTATACCTAACAGGGGTTAGTGGAATCCTCACTTTAAATGTTACATATTCATAATTATACAGTGATTATTACTAATCTATAAAAAATCTCTTTCTCTAGATTGCGCTCAAACGTTGATCAGTGTTGTTGGATCTTCCAGACCTTTAGACGATACCCAATTTTGTTCCAGTCCTACTGTGACTGGTAGAACAGGAAAGACGTCAGTTTGCGATGGTGACATCGGTGGCCCATTTGTCCAAGGCTTTGTCCAAGTGGGTATTATCTCTTGGGGTATTACACCATGTGGCACTACTAGTTCGCCATCCGTTTACGTAAGAGTTTCTAACTATTTGGATTGGATTAACTCTCTACTTATACAGTTGTGAGATGTGCTGCTCCTTTGACTGTTTAAATAAATCTGTACCCAAGCGGATGTATTGAATAAAATTGCTCAGAATTAAATAACGTCTGTTCATTTAAACAACCGATTACGCATTTATGTGTTATTAGCTTAGCTCTCCCCCAACCTTTCGCCAATTCTGACTAATACGAAAACCCTAATATAAGGTGAATCGAAGTCCTTTGGACTTTCAGCGCAGTTCCAGCTACCTGTGGACTTGTTTGATGGATCGATTGTATTGTACGGGATAATATGTAACCAAACTCTTCATTTCATTGTTGTAGTTACAATTAGAAGGGAAATAAAGCGAAAATACAATCTTCCCACAGCTAACCAAAATAGGATAAAATAAATCAAGACTCATCAACACGCTCTATCATAATGTATGAATTTTTGTTTGATACACTAATTTAATATGTAATGATAAGTACCTACAAAAATATCAAATCACAGTACTTTAATCTAATTGTTTCGATGAATCATTGTGTTTTTAATTATATTTTCCTTCACTCCATTATCTTCAACAAAAGAAAGATTTTACAAAAAGATAGAGTATGTACCTTTTTTATTTTCCCAATGAATTTTAGAGTTATTGAAAAGCCTTCCTATGTAGAAACAAGAGACAAAGTATATATTTTAAAGAATTTATCGATTTTAATTAAACATATCTACAAGTACGTACGTAATTTGACTTAGTCGAGATAAGTTTCCTTCATATAAATTAAAATCGAAAGATTCACGCAGTACAGTAGTTTGGATGCATTTCCAAGTTTACAATGAAGTTCCTCGTTGTCCTTTTTGGCCTTGTATGCGCCTTAGCCCATGGCAAGTATTATTACAATTAATTTAATTCATTATAAAAGTATTTGTCCCTTTTATATTAATATGTTTTAATAACTGTATAGGGTTACCGAACGTAGTAAAGGTAGACTCACTCCATCCGGCTTATGCAAATGATTTAGAAACCCTGCCATCCGATAGTGACGGTACCAGGGTAACAAACGGTGAGAACGCTTTCGAAGACCAATTCCCTTACCAGGTTTCCATTCGGTGGGATGATAACATCGAAACGCCCACCCGCCACTGCGGTGGTAGTATCATTTCAGAATCGGTGGTACTCACGGCTGCTCAATGTTACCATAGCGATGGTACCTATTCCATCGTTGCTGGAATTCTCAACCGAGCCAGAATAAGCGAATATACTCAAAAGCGAGGTGTTGACAAATTTGTCATTCACGAAAATTTTTATGGGTAATTAATTAATGATGGAAGTTTACCGATTTAACATTCGCAATTAATTTCATTTTGTTCGCCCTTCAACAGTAGAAGAGGCATATATGACATTGCCCTAATAAAGGTGGACTCACCCTTCGAGTTGACCTCTGCCGTTCAACCTATTCGAATTCCTAGACAAGGACTCGCTCCTTCTGGAACCGGCGTCGTTTCTGGATGGGGAAGGACGTTTTATAATTCTGCTCTCTCAAGCATCATGCAATACGCTACCGTACGGATTATAACAAACAGCGGTTAGTGGAACCCTCATTATAAATGTTACACATTCATAAACTATACAGTGATTATTACTAATAAACCAAAAAAATCTTTTTCTAGAGTGCGCTCAAACATTGATCAGTAACGTCGGATCTTCCAGTCCTTTGGACGATACCCAATTTTGTACCAGTGCTCGCATGAGTGGTAGAACGGGAAGAACGTCAATTTGCGAAGGTGACACTGGTGGCCCACTGGTCCAAGGCTTTGTTCAGGTGGGCATTATTTCTTGGGGCATCACACCATGTGGAACCACTTTTTCCCCATCGGTCTACACAAAAGTTTCTCTTTATTCTGACTGGATTAACGATAAACTTGCACAATTGTAAGGTTTGCTGCCCCTGTTCAACCACATAAGTAAATCTGTATACAACACGGTGCATTGAATAAAACTGCTCAAAAAAAAACAATGTTTGTTTGTTTATTTAATGAACCGATTACCCACTTTCATATTGCTAACATAACACCCTCTGCACCCTTTCGCAAATTCTGGCTAATACGATAGCTCTAACATAAGATGAATCGAAGTCCTTCGGGCATTCAGCACAGTTCCGGGAGATTATGGACTTCGATTGCCCGAGTTGGAAAAATGCAGGATCGAAGCGTTGCAGTGATACGTGCTTGAACCACAGAACACAACCCCGGGTTACGATCAGTTATATCCGGCAACAGAAGCTACCGCTTTATGTCAGTAACAACATAGGTAAGGGTCAGATGATTAACTAAAATCTTTGCCCTTAACCCTCTCAAAGAAGAGCCAGTCGAAAAGGTCACCTGAACTAAATACCTAACATAGTAGACACTACAACAACCCACTATAAAAATCAATTAATAATAATAATACGCATCATAGAAACAGTATAATCCAAGTTAATACAAAACGAACACCGTGGGCCTGGTACCAAATCATTTTTTAGAACATTAATGCTCAAAACTGTCTTTGACCAAATGGCCAAAACCAATATGCGGCAAATACCAATCACAAATAAAGCACATAGACTACGAAGCACACCTGTAACATTCATAAATATCGGACCATTTGTCATTGTTTAGTACAAGAGTTTACAAGTATCACGACGTTTGTTCTATGCTCTATTTCTGAACGATCCCCCGAGATACCACGATGAGTGGATCTTACATTAGGAACTGACAACGATTCCATGTCACTATAAATGGTTGAGTTAACAGTCTTCACACCTCATCTTTTTCACCCCAATCGCCATCCACCCACTCTCACGATTCCTAAAAGGTGGAAGAGTTTCTACTCCCCTGCGTAGTCCGAAGGGGCTGCTCGCCCACCAACATTAGTAGCTGATGGAATTGAAACACCCAAACGTTTTTTAGTTTTTTTTTTACAACAGCATTACTATTGTATCGAAAGTAGATTATCATGCAGGTATTTCAGTTCTTTGCGAACTTTTAAAACTAGTACCCAGTTGTATTGTATACGATAATATATAATTAACTCTTCATTTAATTGTTGTACTTAGAACAAGAAGGGAAATAAAACGAAAATACAATCTTCCAACAGCTAACCAATATAGGATAAAAAATATCAACTCATCAATACGCTCTCTCATTATGTACGAATTTTGGTTTGATACACTATTTTAATAATGATAAGTACATACAAGAGATATCAAATCACAGTACTTTGATCTAATTGTTTAGATGAATCATTGTTTTTAATTAAATTTTTCTTCACTCCATTATCTTCAACAAAAAAAAAAGATTTTACAAAAAGATAGAACATGTACCTTTTTTATTTTTCCAATGAAATGTACGGTTATTGATAAGCCTTACTATGTAGAGAAAAGAGACAAAGTATCCATTTTAAACAATTAATCGATTTTAATTAAATATATCTACAAGGGCATACGTAACTTGTCTTAGTCAAGATAAGTTTCCTCTATATAAATTAAAGCCGAACGATTCACAGTAGTTGGGATACATTTCCAAGTCTAAAATGAAGCTCATCGTTGTCCTTTTTAGCCTTGTATGCGCCTTAGCTCATGGTAAGTATTATTACAATTAATTTAATTCATTATAAAAGTATTTGTCCGTTTTGTATTAATGTCTTAATAACTGTATAGGGCTACCGAACGTAGTAAAGGTAGACTCACTTCATCCGACTTTTGCAAAGGATGCATCCGACAGTGACGACACCAGGATAACAACCAGTGAGGACGCTTTCGAAAACGAATTTCCTTACCAGGTTTCCATTGAGTGGGGTGACAATGAACCGCCCGAACACTTCTGCGGTGGTAGCATCATTTCAGAATCGGTGGTACTCACGGCTGCCCAATGTCATTATGACTATGGTACCTATTCCATCGTTGCTGGAATTTTCAATCGAGTCAGACAAAGCGAATCTGCTCAAAGGCGAGGTGTCGACAGATTTGTCATTCACGAAAGGTTTTCTGGGTAACTAAATAATTACGGACCTTTATCGATTACGCTTTTTAATTAATTTCATTTTGTTCGCCCTTCAACAGTAGAAGAGGCATATATGACATTGCCTTAATAAAGGTGGACTCACCCTTCGTGTTTACTTCTTCCGTTCAAGCTGTTCAACTTCCTAAACAAGGAGTCACTCCTTCTGGAATTGGGATCATTAGTGGATGGGGAAGGACGTTTTATAATTCTGTTCGCCCAGACGTTCTGACATACGCCGCCGTACGAATTATATCTAACAGGGGTTAGTGGAACCCTCACTTTAAACTATACAGTGATCATTACTAATCTATAAAAAATCTCTTTCTCTAGATTGCGCTCAAACGTTGATCAGTGTTGTTGGATCTTCCAGACCTTTAGACGATACCCAATTTTGTTCCAGTCCTACTGTGACTGGTAGAACAGGAAGGACGTCAGTTTGCGATGGTGACTTCGGTGGCCCATTTGTCCAAGGCTTTGTCCAAGTGGGTATTATCTCTTGGGGTATAACACCATGTGGCACTACTATTTCGCCATCCGTTTACGTACAAGTTTCCCTTTATGTGGATTGGATTAAAGATAAACTTGCACAGTTGTGAGATCTGTTGCTCACATAACTATTTAAATAAATCTGTACCCAAACAGATGTATTCAATAAAATTGCTCAGAAATAAATAACGTCTGTTCATTTAAACAACCGATTACGCATTTTTATGTGATTAATTTAACTTCCCCGCCAACCTTTCGCAAATTCTGACTAATACGACAACCATAATATAAGCTGAATCGAAGTTCTTTGGACTTTCAGTACAGTTCCAGCTGACTAAATGTTGCGCACAGGATTTAAGCATTGCAGTGATAGGTCCTTGAACTAATTAGAATCCATAAACAGTTATAAGCACCAGCAGGACCTACCGCTTAATTTCACCAATTTCTTGGCTAAAGATCAGATGTTTAACCAAAATCATCACCCTAACCCTACTGAAGAAGGTCTAAACGAAAAGATCATCTCAAGCACTACAACAGCCCACTATTAAAATCAGTTAAGAAACAAATCTTTACAGTGACCGTATAAGTCAAGTTAATAAAAAACTAACACCCTGGCCCTGGTACGAAGTCAATTTTTAAAATATTAATGCTCAACACTCTCCTTGATCAAATGGCAAAAACTAAGATGCAGCCAATACCAATTACAAAAAACCACACAGATTATGAAAGAGAGCAGACTTGTAACATTCATAAACATCGGACCATCCGCTATTGTTTGGTAAAAAACTTTACAAGTATTACGACGTTTGTTCTATGCTGTATTTCTCAGCGACTCCCCGAGATACCACGAATGGATCTAACATCAGGAATTGCCTACGATTCTATGTCACTATAAATACTTGAGTTAACAGTCTTCTTTTGTCTTCACACCTCATCTTTTTCACCCCAATCACCATTCACATATCCTCACGATTCCTATAAGGAGACTGAAGGGAACCTTACTTTCTAGTCCCCGGCGTAGTCAGGAGAGACTGCCCGTCCGCCAGCATTAGTAGCTGATGGTATTGAAACACCCAAACGTTTTTCAGTTTTTTTTAACAGCAGCATTTCTATTGCATTCAAAGTAGATTAACCTGCAAGTATTTTAGTCTTTTGCAAACTTTTAAAACCACATGCTGCAGGGTGAGCAAAAAATCAGTATCATAACTACCTAATTGTATTGTACGGGATAATATATAACTAACCCCTTCATTTAATCGTTGTACTTAAAACTATAAGGGACATAGAGCCAAAATACAATTTTGCTAGAGCTGACCAAAATAGAATAAGAGATATCATGACTCATCAACACGCCTTTTCATGATGTACGAATTTGTGTTTAATACACCACCATAATAAGGATAAGTACATACAAAAGATATCAAATCAGAGTACTTTGATCTAATTGTTTAGATGAATCATTGTGTTTTTAATTAAATTTTCCTTTATTCCATTATCTTCAACAAGAAAAAGATTTTGCAAAAAGATAGAACATGTGCCTTTTTTATTTTTCCATTTTAAGCAATTGATCGATTTTAATTAAATATATCTACAAGTGTATATGTGACTTGTCTTGGCCGAGATAAGTTTCCTTCATATAAATTAAAACCGAAATATTCGAGCAGTACCTACAGTAGTTTGGATAGACTTCCAAGTTTAAAATGTTCCTTGTTGTCCTTTTTGGTCTTTTATGTACCTTAGCCCATGGTAAGTATTATTACAATTAATTTAATNCTTGTATGTACCTTAGCCCATGGCAAGTATTATTACAATTAATTTAATTCATTATAAAAGTATTTGTCCCTTTTATATTAATGTGTTTTAATAACTGTATAGGGCTACCGAATGTAGTAAAGGTAGACTCACTTCGTTCGGTTTATGCAAAGGATTTAGAAACCCTGCCATCCGACAGTGACGACACCAGGATAACAACAAGTGAGAACGCTTTCGAAAACCAATTCCCTTACCAGGTTTCCATTGAGTGGGGTGACAATGAAACCCCCAGACACTTTTGCGGTGGTAGCATCATTTCAGAATCGGTAGTACTCACGGCCGCCCAATGTCATTATGACTATGGTACCTATTCCATCGTTGCTGGAATTTTCAATCGAGTCAGACAAAGCGAATCTGCTCAAAGGCGAGGTGTCGACAGATTTGTCATTCACGAAAGGTTTTCTGGGTAACTAAATAATTACGGACCTTTATCGATTACGCTTTTTAATTAATTTCATTTTGTTCGCCCTTCAACAGTAGAAGAGGCATATATGACATTGCCTTAATAAAGGTGGACTCACCCTTCGTGTTTACTTCTTCCGTTCAAGCTGTTCAACTTCCTAAACAAGGAGTCACTCCTTCTGGAATTGGGATCATTAGTGGATGGGGAAGGACGTTTTATAATTCTGTTCGCCCAGACGTTCTGACATACGCCGCCGTACGAATTATATCTAACAGGGGTTAGTGGAACCCTCACTTTAAACTATACAGTGATCATTACTAATCTATAAAAAATCTCTTTCTCTAGATTGCGCTCAAACGTTGATCAGTGTTGTTGGATCTTCCAGACCTTTAGACGATACCCAATTTTGTTCCAGTCCTACTGTGACTGGTAGAACAGGAAGGACGTCAGTTTGCGATGGTGACTTCGGTGGCCCATTTGTCCAAGGCTTTGTCCAAGTGGGTATTATCTCTTGGGGTATAACACCATGTGGCACTACTATTTCGCCATCCGTTTACGTACAAGTTTCCCTTTATGTGGATTGGATTAAAGATAAACTTGCACAGTTGTGAGATCTGTTGCTCACATAACTATTTAAATAAATCTGTACCCAAACAGATGTATTCAATAAAATTGCTCAGAAATAAATAACGTCTGTTCATTTAAACAATCGATTACGCATTTTTATGTGATTAATTTAACTTCCCCGCCAACCTTTCGCAAATTCTGACTAATACGACAACCGTAATATAAGCTGAATCGAAGTTCTTTGGACTTTCAGTACAGTTCCAGCTGACTAAATGTTGCGCACAGAATTTAAGCATTGCAGTGATAGGTCCTTGAACTAATTAGAATCCATAAACAGTTATATGCACCAGCAGGAGCTACCGCTTAATTTCACCAATTTCTTGGCTAAAGATCAGATGTTTAACCAAAATCATCACCCTAACCCTACTGAAAAAGGTCTAAACGAAAAGATCATCTCAAGCACTACAACAGCCTACTATCAAAAACAGCAGCATTACTATTGCATTCAAAGTAGATTAACCTGCAAGTATTTTAGTCTTTTGCAAACTTTTAAAACCATATGCTGCAATTTTATTGTACGGGATAATATATAACTAACCCCTTCATTTCATCATTACAACTAGAAGGGACATAGAGCCAAAATACAATTTTGCTAGAGGTGACCAAAATAGAATGTTGGTATTATATCCGTGGTATCTCCAAGAATAACTTTCGATGTAAAAAGAATTTTATTTTGTAAAAAGTTACAAAATTAGTTTACAACAAAATAACTGTCNTCTGGGCCCATAACCTGTTGGTATTATATCCGTGGTATCTCCAAGAATAACTTTCGATGTAAAAAGAATTTTATTTTGTAAAAAGTTACAAAATTAGTTTACAACAAAATAACTGTCGAATCAAGAAAAAATACATTCCGTCTAGTTTCTAAGTAAACATTAACAACTGCCAAAAAACAATTTCACACAATACTTGATTAATAGTAACAACATTTTTAGATTAGGCAGAATTGACATGTGACAATTTAGAAGAGAATTACTAAATTTAAACAATTCTTTGATTTATCTCAACATAGAATAACAGACATCATGACTCAACAACACGCGTTTTCTTAATAATGATAAGTACCTACAAAAATATCAAATCACAGTACTTTGATCTAATTGCTTAGATGAATCATTGTGTTTTTAATTAATTTTTCCTTCATTCCATTATCTTCAACAAGAAAAAGATTTTACAAAAAGATAGAACATCGATTTTAATTAAATATATCTACAAGTGTTTATGTGACATGTCTTGGCCGAGATAAGTTTCCTTCTTATAAATTAAAGCCGAAAGATTCGAGCAGTACCTGCAGTAGTTTGGATAGATTTCCAAGTTTACAATGAAGTTCCTTGTTGTCCTTTTTGGCCTTGTATGTGCCTTGGCCCATGGTAAGTATTACTACAATTAATTTAATTCATTATTCAAGTATTTGTCCTTTTATTATTCATTTTATTTAATAACTGAATAGGGTTACCGAACGTAGTAAAGGTAGACTCACTCCATCCGGCTTATGCAAATGATTTAGAAACCCTGCCATCCGACAGTGAGGACACCAGGATAACCAACAGTGAGGACGCTTTCGTCGATGAATTCCCTTATCAGGTTTCCATTGAGTGGGGTGACAATGAACCGACCGAACACTTCTGCGGTGGTAGCATCATTTCAGAATCGGTGGTACTCACGGCTGCCCAATGTCGTTATGACTACGGTACCTATTCCATCGTTGCTGGAATTTTCAATCGAGTTAGAAAGGGCGTATCTGCTCAAAGGCGAGGTGTCGACAAATTTGTCATTCACGAAAAGTATTCCAAGTAATTAATTAACTACGGAACTTTATCGATTACGTTTTTTAATTAATTTCATTTTGTTCACCCTTCAACAGTAGAGTAGGCCTGTATGACATTGCCCTAATAAAGGTGGACTCACCCTTCGTGTTTACTTCTTCCGTTCAGCCTGTTCAACTTCCTAAACGAGGACTCAATCCTTCTGGAATTGGCATCATTAGTGGATGGGGAAGGACGTTTTATAATTCTGTTCGCCCAGACGTTCTGACATACGCCGCCGTACGAATTATATCTAACAGGGGTTAGTGGAACCCTCACTTCAAATTTGTACATTCATAACCATACAGTAATTATTACTAATCAACAAAAATATCTTTCTTTAGATTGCGCTCAAACATTGATCAGTTATGTCGGATCTTCCAGTCCTTTGGACGATACCCAATTTTGTACCAGTGCTACTGAGTCTGATGGAAATGAAAAGACGTCAGTTTGCGATGGTGACATCGGTGGTCCATTTGTCCAAGGCTATGTCCAAGTGGGTATTATCTCTTGGGGTATCACACCATGCGGCACTACTAGAACACCATCCGTTTACGTAAAACTTTCCCTCTATGTGGATTGGATTAACGCTCAACTTGCACAGTTGTGAAATATGCTGCTCCTTTGACTATTAAACTAAGACTAAGAAATAAATAGCGTCTGTTCATTTAAACAACCTTTTACTCATAAAACAAACAGAATAGCTCAAAACCCCAACGCCAAAACACGACACTGTAGTTGTCCGAAGCACTTTTCGGTAACAAAGTTACCTTCTTCAGGGACTGAAGTAAACTCTTTTACTAAGGTAAAGAAGGTAACTTTGTTACCGAAAAGTGCTTCGGACAACTACAGTGTCGTGTTTTGGCGTTGGGGTTTTGAGCTATTCTGTTTGTTCTACAACAACCGCCAAAGTTTTTTTCCAATCTTCATACTTTTACTCATGTTTATGTTATTAATTTAACTCCCCCTGCCCAACCTTTCGCGAATTCTGGCTAATACAACGACCGTAAAGGAGGGGTTCTAGAGTTGTGAAATTGTGACTGTGAAGGACTGCATGTGTGTCGTGGATGTACTTAAATCATCCGTATACAAAAATACGTAAATTACTGAAATCATTGAGTTTTTATTTTTAAATTAAAATTCCTACTTGAGTGGATAACATTTTTTGACTAGGTAAATCTGGCTTTTGGTTATGATAAGATAAAAGTTTACGCAACAACAATATAGCGTGACACGTAATAATCAACTTTTACTAATAATAAGTTTTCCGCTAACTGTATTCATTAACGAAAATATTCGTTCTGTTTCGTTTCCAGAAAACAAAAAAGTATTGGTTCTTCGCCAGGCAATTTTTCAATTGTATTTCGTCTAAAATTTTGGAGCAAGTTCTTTTACTTCCTTTTGGTAATACATTACTTAGAGTGGGAAATTCATGAATGAATTTAACAGTACATACAGAAATGCCAGGCATATGGGACGCAGACGTTTTGCAGGAATATTTTATTAATTATTGCAGTGAGGGATTACCCTTGTCCTTACAGAAGGGTCCCCAGAATTCTGCATGGTTGAAAGGTTTTATTAAAAGAAAGCATACGTATTTTATTTTTGAAACGAATTTTTGGGTTGTTGGGAAACGTTATCATGTAGAAAAAAACGAGACATTTTACACAATCAATCAAATGTTAATCAAAAGTATCTACAAGTATGAGTCGTTTGTACTTAAACTGACAATGAGATTAGTTTTCTTCATATAAATAAGAGCCGAGAGATTCAAGTTGCACAGTGATTTTATTGAATATCATTGGATGCATTGACAATTTCAGAATGAAGTTACTCGTTGTTCTTTTAGGCCTTCTTTGTACCTCGGTGCATGGTAAGTTTCATTACAATAATTTATGTAGGTTCGTTCTTTCTTATGATTAATACGTTTTCAGGGGCACCAAACCTATCAGAAAAGGTACATTCACCCCATCCAGCTTACGTAAAAGATATAGAAATCTTACCATCCGACGATACCAGGATAACACAAGGTGAACGTGCTTTTAGAGACCAATTTCCTTACCAGGTTTCCATAGAGTGGGGTAACAATCAGTCACCCACCCACCTCTGCGGTGGTAGTCTCATTACGGAATCGGTGGTACTCACGTCTGCTAGTTGTATCAGAAACTACGGTACCTATATCATCGCTGCTGGAATCCTCAATCGAGGCGAAAATAGCTCATCTGCTCAAAGACGAAATGTTGACAGTATTGTCGTTCACGAAAATTGGCCCGGGTAATTAATAAATTACGATCTTCTTCGATAATGCTTCGTATAATACCATTTTCTTCGCTTTTCAGCGAAGGCCCGGCTCCATTTGATATTGCCCTAATAAAGGTAGCCTCGCCCTTCATCTTGACCTCTTCCGTCCGGGTTGTTGGACTACCTGCCCAAGGTGTCGTTCCTTCTGGAAGCGCCGTTCTTTCTGGATGGGGAAGGACGTTTTATAATTCTGTTCTCCCAACCGTCCTGCAACACGCCTATCTACAAATCCTACCAAATAACGGTTAGTGGAATATCTAGTTCTGAATGTTACAAACACGAAATAACTACAGTAATTATTACTGATCAAAAAAATGTCTTTCTCTGTAGAGTGCGCCCGAAGTTTAATCAATCAACTGGGATATTCCGATCCTTTGGACGATACCCAAATTTGTACAAGCGCACGCGTTTCTGATCAAACAAAAAGGGTGTCCGTTTGCCGTGGTGACTCTGGTAGCCCATTGGTCCAAGGCTATGTTCAAGTGGGTATCGTCTCTTGGGGTTTAACACCATGCGGCACCACCTTTGCCCCATCTGTCTACACAAGAGTTTCTACCTATTCTGACTGGATTGACGATAAACTTGAGCAGTTACGGTCTGCCGTTCCTTCGGGCATCGACAATGAATAAATAAAATTACTTACAAATAAATAACGTCTTTTATTTGAAAATTTATTATTTACCAATTCATATACGCTTCGTTTCCATTTTCTATAATTTGACCAATAGATTTCACATCCTTTGCGAGTCATCAATATGTATCTATTATTGAATCGGTGGAAGTCATAACAGTCAGTGTCAGGAATTGTGCGGGAGTATTTGTTGAAAGTCATCTGCAAATCTGTTGGCTGGGGTTTTTGGAAAATGGTATAGTACGGGGATGTGGTTTGCATCACGTTTATCAAAACAGTAAAGGAATGGGATGAGAAGTATTCCGAAAATCTGTGTTCTCTTTAAGACTAAAATTATTTGGGAAAAGATCTGATGCTGCTCTGATTCGACTCTAAAAGCCGTTATCGGTTGGAGTTACTTCCTAACGTTTCTCTAGCACGAGTGGCGAGCTTCTTTAGAAGTCCTTCCATCTCCGATTCATCCAAGATCCAGACAACGGCTTTTAGTCAGAATCAGGACAGCATCAGATCACCAACTGGCTGCGAAAGCCTTTACTAATTCATGGAATTGCGTTTGATGTTATGAAGTTGTATATTGTAGGGACTTGGTCCTTGTTGGAAATTATTTCGGTACAGAATTACTGATTTGCATTTTGGTTTTTGAAATAGTTAAGGTAGACACAAACAAAGACAGTGACTTTCGGATTTTCTGAGCGTTTCCCTTTACCGTGGTTGGTAGGCTAGTATTCCTGCAAATAGGTGATGCATATGTGATGAGTGGTCTTATCAAAAGTTTGTGGCATTTACATTTTGAACTAGGGGACAACGTTTTATTAAAAAGGTTCTTGTGTTGGCTTTAAACGTTGCTTTTGATATGTTCAACTGGTGAAGTGTATGAGGAGTAAGTTTCAGAAGGTAGTCCAATAATTAGTACTGTATAACAATCCTCAAATGCTCCATGTCTCTTCTTCAAAATTCTCGGTCCGCGACCTTTTCGTTGGAACCAAAACTACATAAAACAAGTACCAAGAATATTTACTACTAGATAGCCCTTATTTTTAAAATAGGGGGATTGGTTTCGTCCCTCCACTCCCTCGGTTATTTAAAACAATTTGCTAGAGTATATTTGAAATTCCTCAAAACCGTAACATTATTAGAATTAGATTACCTAATTATAAACGTTTAAATAACAGACGTTATTTATTTGTAAGTGATTTTGTTTATTGTTTCGTTTTGAGTACAATATTATGAATGTATATATTTAAACGGTTGAAGGAGCGGCAGAGCTCAACTCTGCAAGTCTATCGTTAATCCAGTCAGAATAGGTAGAAACTCTTGTGTAGACAGATGGAGCGTAAGTGGTGCCACATGGTGTGATACCCCAAGAGACAATACCCACCTGAACATACCCTTGGACCAATGGACTACCAGAATCACCACTGCAAACTGATACCCTTCCTGTTTGACCAGTAACGCGTGCACTGGTACAAATTTGGGTATCGTCCAAAGCACTGGTATATCCCAACACGTTGATCAAATTTTGAGCGCATTCTACAGAGAAAGATTTTTGTATCAGCAATAATTACTGCAGTTAGAATTGGGTATTTCACTAACCGTTGTTTGTTATGATTCGTAGATTTGCGTATTGCAAGACGGTTGGGAGAACAGAATTATAAAACGTTCTGCCCCATCCAGAAACGATGCCAGTTCCAGAGGGAACGATACCCTGACTAGGAATTCCAACAGTTTGAACGGAAGAAGTCAAAGTGAAAGGTGAGACTGCTTTTACGAGGGCAATGTCATATGGAGCCGGGCCTTCGCTACAAAGAGAAAAAAATAAAAATGAATAAAAACCACAACCAATAAAGATCGTGATTAATTAATTACCCAGGCCAGTTTTCGTGAACTACAATGGTGTCAACGCTTCGTCTTTGAGATGTTGCAGTAGTTTCGCCTCGATTAAGAAGTCCAGCAGCTATCGTATACGTACCATAACTTTCAATACAATGGGCAGCCGTGAGTACCACCGATTCTGAAATGAGACTGCCACCGCAGAGATGGGAGGGCGATTCAAGATAACCCCATTCTAGAGAAACCTGGTAAGGGAATTGGTCTCTAAATGCACGATCACTGTTTGTTATCCTGGTATTGTCAGATGGTATGATTTCTATATCTTTTGAGAAAGCTGGACGGGGCGAATCTACCACCTTCTCTACGTTTGGTGCCCCTATTCAAATATTAAAACGCATTAATAGATGTAGAACGAACAAACAGCTAAATATATAATTGAATAAATTGAAGTAAAAAACTCACCATGGGCTAAGGCGCAGACAAGGCCTAATAGAACAACGAGGAATTTCATTGTAAAAGCTCGTCAAATGGATCCAACCAAATCACTGTGCAGCCGGAAGAGTCCGGTTCTTATTTATATGAACGAAAGTAATCTCTAAGTGCAAGACAAATTGTAAGCCACTTACAGATATCCATATTTGATTAACGTTAGATTAATTATTTATCTGAAATGCACTTTTGCCTCACTATTTCTGCATAGTAAGCTTTCTCAACAACCGGAAACGTCGTTTGAAAAGTAAAATACTTGTGCAATAGAAGATTTTTTGTAAAATTTTTCTGTGGCTGAAAATAATAGAATGACTGATATATTTAATTAAAAAATCTCAATGACTCTTGTAAACAAATACGTTGAAGTACTACCGGCTGGTAATATTAATTGCTCATTCAATTATCTTCAACTAAAGAAAAAGTTTACAAAAATATCTATCGCACACGCACTTTACTTTTGAAATGATGTTTCCGGTTATTGAGACACCTTAGCGTACATAGATAAAAGGGGATGAAGTTCATTTTAGATAACTAATCGAATATTAATCAAATATGTGCACTCATATAGATAAGAGTTGAAAACTTCAGGTTGCACAGTGGTTTGATGCGCTTTCAGAATGCAATTTCTAGTGATACTGTTAGGACTTGTATGTGCCTTGGCCCATGGTGAGTTTTTTCTTCAATTAATTAAATTGTATATACTTTCAGCTGTTAGTTATTTCTACATATATTAATGCGTTTTAATGTTTGAGTAGGGGCACCAAACGTAGAAAAGGTGAATTCACCCCGTCCATCTTTCTCAAAAGATAAAGAATTCATACCATCTGGCAATAGCAGGATAACAAACAGTGACCAATTCCCTTACCAGATTTATTTCTATAAAGTGGGGTAACAATCAATCGCTCATCCATCTCTGAGGTGGTAGTCTCATTTCAGAATCGGTGGTACTCACGGCTGCCCATTGTATCTATGACTACGGTACAAATATCATTGCTGCTGACGTCCTTAATCGGGGCGAAAATACTTCAACTTCTCAAAGACGAAGTGTTGAAACCATTGTAATTCACGAAAACTGGCCTGGGTACTTAATAAATTACGATCTTTATCGATGGTGCTTCGTACAATTTCAGCTCCATTTGACATTGCCCTAATAAAGTTAGTCTCACCCTTCATCTTGACCTCCTCCGTTCGGGTTGTTGAACTTCCTGCCCAAGGTGTCATTCCTTCTGGTCTGGCGTTACTGGGCAAACAGGAAGGGGATCAGTTTTGTCGTAGAGATTCTGGTAGCCTCTTGGTTCAAGGGTATGTCCAAGTGGGTCTGGTTTCTTGGGGCATCCCGCCATGTAGCACCACTTACGCTCTATCTGTCTACACAAGAATTTCTAGCTATTCTGACTGGATTAACAACAGACTTGCAGAGTTAAGGTCTGCTCCTTCGACTGTCTAAATACATAAATATGTACCCAAAATGAAATACCGAATAAAATTACTTACAAATAAGTATATGATCTCTGCTATTTGAAAATCTACAATTAATCTAATCCTTAATAAGTGCCATGATCATCATCATCATCACCACCACCATCACATTCTCATAAGGTCGTCATACTGTTGAGAATAGTTATAAAAATAATGTTATTATTTTGAAAATGTTCAAATACAGTAGAACTTGGTTAATAGCAATTGAGATACATCATTTAAAATGGTGAAATTTTCGAGAATAGATTCAAAAATTAGACTGTGTAAGCTGTGAGGTAACGGTCGAAGTTGTCTTTCGTATCTCGCCTTTGATAATGTTCACCGCAATTGTGAACGGAACGTCATGCTTTTAAGTCCCGAAAACTTCGTTACATTGGATTGGATTGGAGACGGGATTGCAGAGTTTTGGACAAAACTTAGTTGGTGAGCTTACTCTAAAACACCCTGCAACATGTTAGGATTTCTCATGTGGTTTTCATTGCCCGCTCGCACCCTTGCATAAAAAAATATCGTTACCAAAATCACTTTATATCAATGAGTAATTAAATGCTACCCACTTCATAACTGTGAAGGGTGCAGTTGGTCGTTACCATACTGCACAATTCGACTAAAATTTCCCATGATGATTTGATGTCGAGTGAATTATAGTTCCTCCACAAAATAAACTTAAAAAACTCCATCGTCCTTCTTAAGATATGCAAAGTACCCAAAGCTTGACATCAAAACGATGTTATTTATTAATAATTTTGGTAATGCATTTATTAAGGGTCTTTTTATTTTAAAAGTTTATCAAAAAGCGAATCAAACGTCATGCTGTTATTTCTTCCTGTCACTGTCGCAATTATACATTTGTTATACATTTTTCTTTAGCAATTATCAATAATTTATTAATATTCAAAGTACCGCACACGAACTGATTTCATTTTCCATTTACACTAAACGTGGGGTAAGCACCTAATAGAAAACTTTTACTTTAAAAGCATACAATTAATTCTTACTTATTAATCTATATGAAGAGGTAAATTTTGTTTGTGTATACGAGGCCTACCCAAAAGTTCGAGGAATCAATGTTATACGCGCGAACAAATCATAGTGCGAAATTGCGTCGATAAATTGATAATATCTTGCTTCTAGAAGTCAGTGGATCGAACAGGTAAAGCATTACACTAGTGTTTCAAACGTACTGCCATTTCTATGATGGCTGTGGCCGAAGAGCAAAGAATTCATATCAAATTTCAATATTTTGGCTTAAATCAGAGAATTTTGAATGGTTCAAGAGAAGACAATGAACGATTCGGCACGTCTTCACCTCGCATCACTTCAGACAATTATCAATTATCCTTCAGGGTTGAAAACAAACCGTCAAGGTCAAAACTGAAGCTAAAGGAATGCCGTGTGGGACTTGGCAGCGAATTTTGCCCGGCCTCAATGTGGGTGAATGCTGATCGTTCATGGAATTGTTCATTAGGGGTTTGGACCAGCAGTTGAGGGTAAATAGCCGACGTAATGAAAATGCTGAAAAACAAAAACTGGCTTGTGCATCACGACACTGCACCTTCTCAGAAAATAATCATGGTGACATGAACGTTCTTCGCCAAAACCAACGTGCCTGTTGTGGATTATTTAGCCTACTCACTCGACCTAATACCGTGTGACCATCTGATATTTTTAAAAATTAATATTTCGAGGAGTGTTACCAGCAGTGGAAGAAACTCTGGCATACTGTGTAGAAGTACATACGTACTTTTGCAGTTTTCTAACGGTACTTGGAACTTTTGGATAGATCCTCGTATGTAATCTTTGGAACGCAATCTAAACATTCTTTGACTAATATTAAGCTACACTATATTTTATTTAGACGCGTTTGTCAAATTTCTTTGCACATCAAAGTACAATTGCTTCAATTTAAAATTATTCGTTTTAAAATTATTGTTTGTTTGACGACCATTTCATTGGCTTCTGATCACCGATAGCAACTGTGAGTTTACAATTCAATATTGAAAAGTTTTGTTATAGACATATGCATGTAGGCACGTTTCCACTAAGCCCACGCACGTAAATAGTAACAGACACGAGGGAGGCTTTTGTGTGGGGGGTTGAAACGTCTAGTCAGTCCATCGTGGAGATTGCTGTTTGAAATATTTCGTGATGTATAGTAAAATAATTGTATTGTGTGCACTGTTATTGTACGATCTATTGCAAATACCCTTGCGGTTTATTGTCACCAGCATTTTAGAAGTTTCGAATAAGGTATTGTCAAAGTATTTTTTATTAATATTAGTGCATGTTTTAATGATTATTATAAAATGGTACTTTTTGAATGAACCTCATAATCAAAGGAATTAAATCACTGGGTATATTATATGTACAATTGATGATTAACCGGATGGTATCAGCCACCAACTGAATCTAGTTTTATTTATAAACACATCAATAAGGGAATTCAAAATTAATTACACAGAAATTTCCGATATCGTCAACGAAACAACGGGCGGCTTTTTACGAAGACTGCTGCACGGAAGTTTTGTTTCTTTAAAATACATATTCTATTAGCACACAAACAACAGCATCACACGAAGTATAAAATTTGTAAAAATAGATATTGTTTTAGAATATACTGCTACATCAATAATAACGATAAAATGTCTGTCGTAAGTGATTGTGTAGAGGAAAATAATGGTAAAAGGAGAGCGACTTTTTTCAAGTAGACACAATGGATAAATATGAACAAATATCAATAGTGGGTGAGGGATCGTATGGTATTGTTATTAAATGTAAACACAAGGAAACGCAACAAACAGTAGCTATTAAGAAATTTTTAGAAACGGAAGAAGACGCCGCCATAAGAAAAATGGCACTTCGCGAAATACGGATGCTTAAGGTTTTTATATTATTTCTTAAATTACATATTATTTACGAATTAACGTTTGTGGAATGTGCACGAATTTTCAGAGGCTCAAACATATAAACTTGGTTACGATGATCGAAGTATTTAGGTTTAGAAAAAGATTTTATTTGGTATTTGAGTACTTAGAAGGGACCGTTTTAGACGAATTAGAAAAATTGCCAAATGGTTTAGGTGACGATCGTGTTCGTGAACGAATTTTTCAAGTGTTGAAAGGAATTCAGTTTCTTCACCGTAACAATGTAAGTTAAATCTAAACCAGTTATACCATAAACTACTATAAAAATACTGTAAAAAAAACATTTTAGGTGATTCATAGAGACATTAAACCTGAAAACGTGTTAGTGTCGTCTCTGGGTGTTGTAAAATTGTGCGATTTTGGTTTTGCTCGATTAATAAGTTGTACTGGTGAGATTTGTACAGAGTATGTAGCGACCAGATGGTACAGGGCCCCAGAATTGCTGGTGGGGGAACAAATCTACGGTCCAGCTATCGACATCTGGGCCGTTGGTTGCCTTTTTGCCGAAATGATGACCGGAAATGCCCTGTTTCCCGGAGAAAGTGACATTGATCAACTCTATTTGATAGTAAAACTAATTGGTAAGAAAAATTCTTAGATCAATAACAACAATAAGAAAATTGTTTGTTGAGTTCTTGAAGTATAGCTTTTCTATAACGTGTCATTCTGTAGTCATCTTTTTATCCACCCCCAAATGGCATGGTCCATTACAGCTACATCAGCATCCATTTTTCTTGTGCTTATTGAAAATGTGCCCATAAATTCCTTGGTCTTCCCAGAAACATGTGGCTTCTAGCATTCTCCAAAACATTTTTAATATACGTACACATGTAATAATGAAAAGGAGTTTTTCTATTATCAGAGACGTCTAACAAATTGAATCATAAATTAACATCTCTTGCTGTATAAAAAAATATAACTTAAAGATGTAAATTCATCAATCTACTTCAATGAAGCCGGAATTATAGCCTTTGTTTTAAGTTGTCCGGCACCTTCATCAAAATTTTTTAATAAATAAACTTTGTATGTAGGTAGACCATGTTCAAAACATCAGAATCTAATTTCGAGAAACATCAGTCTCAAAAATATAACGAAATCAGTAAATGACTCGTGCGGTTTATATCGCGCTTTCTCAGACTGGTCTGATTCTACCATCAACTTCTTGGTGCAAACGCTGAAGATGAATCCTGACGAAAGACTCACTTCTAACGAACTACTGAATCACGATTATTTCGTCAAGGACAATTTTCCAGAAAAATTCTTCCCCATTCTGAAGGAACGTATCGAAACGGAGCTCAGTCAAAATCCCCTCCTTTGGAAATATAAAAACGACATTCTGTCCTCTTCCGATCAAAAACTGGAAGACTTAAAACTCAGCTCGTCGCAGTCGAATGCTCAGAAATGGAAAATTAATTTCAACGAGAGTCAAAGTATCAAAAGAAAACTGAGCGGCGACGAAGTTGTTCTACCAGACTACAATAACAAATTAAATTCTGTCAAGCAACAGTACACATCGTCATCAGTTGTACTAAAAAGGACAGCTAATGGCAAATGTAATAATCATAATAACGACGTTTTGTCTATTACAACATCTTCGCAATCGCAAATGTTTCGTAAAACTTTGGAGAGTCTTTCTAAAGCAAGCCAGAAATCGAGAAATCAGAGTCAAACAGAAACACAAATAAAATCGAGCAATAACGGGAAAATGTGTTTGGAAAAGGAAGGCAATTTTAAGAAAAGCAGTCTTCTTTTCCTTCACTCCAAATTTAATGAAAACAATAATAGCGTGTCATCATTAAGACCATCAAACATTAGCCGAAATAATAATCAGCAATTTCAGAAAAATGCCGGATTTGAAAACTTAAAAACTTCGTACTTAACGAGTTACAACATCCAGAAGAATGACCAGTGTATCTTACCTGATATTCCCGGAGGTATTTCACAAGTAAATTGTAATATTCTTTAATAGTGATTGTTTATTTTTTTGTAGCGACACCTTCCTCAAATTCGAGGAAACGTTTCTTACCGAACATATCGAATGTTGTTTCTCAAACCCAAAATGTAACACCGGTATGTTAATAAATTACATATTATAAAATTATTGAGAGATTGCCTTCGCGTCATTGACACGATCGCCTGTCCGAATCAATTGAAAAGTGATGAGTTCTGTTAGGGGCAGTTTAGAATCTCATGAACGTTGGGTTGGGTTGCGCGATGGCAAAACAGAAGTCGCTTCATCGATTGCATTGTATAGAAAGGCACATCATTTACAGTCCGCTCAATGTTTTTGTAATGTACAATACGTGAAGGCGCATGAGATTTTGAACCAGCTCTACATTGAATTCACTTCTAATACACTTAGAAACTAATACTAGGCATAGCATACAACATTTTACGTACGTGTCTGATTCATTGGTCCACATGCAATCTCTCAAGTATGTTAGTTTATGTCAGTCATCATTGCTATTTCTTACAGTTGTCAACTTCACAAAAATCATCCCCATCAAGAAATATAGGGAACTATCCTTATTCGTAATGATGGTGTTCTTATAATTGAATAAATATTTTTATGTATATAAATGCATGTATTTACCTACATTATTAGTCAGTTTAAGGAATATGTTTGTGCATATTTTTTATACAAACATTTATTAGTCGAACCTCTTGGATTGAATAAAGATGTCTTGAAAAAAATAAAAAGAAAACAAAAAATTATTTTATTATTTATATTGTAGGAATATCGTTACAAAAAAGCAAAACGAAAATATGAACATGTTGCAAAACAAAAGTTTCGATTGGTCCGGATTGAAAAAAAATGAAGAAAAACAAAACGAAGATACATAATTTTTTGTAATCACAGTGTCCATATTACATCAATTTTTATACTGATTTTGTGCCCTAATAATAATTGTATACGAACGAAGCCATAATTATTTATTATCACTTGCTAAGTATAAACAAAGTAACTCTCGGATAACTTTAACACGATGCGACGTTATTATCAGGGGCGTACTTAGGATGCTAAGCTGCTACTTGTGGATACCAAAGTGCAAGATAAAAACAATTTAATTGTTTATTTATTATAAAAATATTAACTAGCAATTAAGAGCGACAAGCGGTTAACATTTCTAGTACATTATCAGTATTTCGTTTGCAAACATAAATCAATTTTTCTCCTTCTGTTAACGGATGGATGTAATGATATTTCACTAAATCACCTAGAACAAAAGTTAAATTAATTACATACTAATTTACTTAAAACATGAATTTCATTACCCAAGGAGTCATGGTCGATATGATTTTTTCCCAAGAATCGATATTTTTCTTTGGAACTTATCAAGTAATGTTTGCATTTATCAACAGCTCTGTAAGATAGTGCATAGCCCCAGATACGTTCTGAAAGACGAATCAAAAAAGAGCCCTCGGGTTGATCATTCAGAATTTTTTCTGCTTCATTTCTCGTGATTAATCCTAAACAAACACATCCAATTATGTTCAAGTACGTCTCGTTAATTTATTAAATTATATTTTACAGAGCAATAAAATTTAGGAGTGCCCATAAAATGCACTTTTATGATACACGAGCATAGTCTCTTTATTGTATTTGTTTCATGACGATCCTTCAAATTTTATCAATGTTGGACCAGCAGCAAATGTCTTGGTTCGTATTGGTGCCGAAAAGGAAGGAAGAGGTGTGAGATTTTGCGAGAAAAAGAAGCATTTAAAGGAGCCGGGGAAGAACCGAAGGAGAGGGAGGATGCAGTCATTCGCGAGGTACGCATAGGGGTGTGAAGATGTGGCCATTCTATAAAAGAGGGGAACGTATTCACTCGTACAACACAGTCATCTAAAGGGGGCGGGGTGATGAATGTGCACCAGCCACTTTTGCGGACAGACACTGTAAAGTGGGGGAGGATGCAACCACTCGCGCGGTGTGCACAGGGGTGTGAAAGTGCACCCGCTCACGTTATACAGGCATTCCAAATAGAGGGAGAATGCAACCACTCGTATGGCACAGTCATCTAAAGGGGGGCGATGAATGTGCAGCAGCCACTTTTGCGAATATTCACTGCAAAGAGGGGGGAGATGCAGCCATCCATGCGGTAGGCAGAGAGGTGTGAATTTACGACCATTGACGTGGAATAGGCCTTCAAAATATAGGGGGAGTGCAACCACTCGTATGGCACAGTCATCTAAAGGGGGGCGATGAATGTGCAGCAGCCACTTTTGCGAACATTCACTGCAAAGAGGGGGGAGATGCAGCCATCCGTGCGGTAGGCAGAGAGGTGTGAATTTACGACCATTGACGTGGAATAGGCCTTCAAAATATAGGGGGAGTGCAACCACTCGTACGATACAGTTTCCCGAAGGAGGGGGAAGGGAAAGGTGACCAATTTTGCAGGCAGGCACCGGAATGAAGGGGTGGATGCAGTCATTCGCGCGGTATCCATAGGGGTGTGAAGATGTGGCCACTCGCGTGATAGAGACATCTATAAAAGAGGCGAACGTACTCACTCGTACGACACAGTCATCTAAAGGAGGGGAGGGAGATGAATGTTCATCAGCCACTTTTGCGGACAGACACTATAATGTGGGGAAGGATGAAACCACTCGTGCGGTGTGCAGAGGGGTGTGAAAATGCACCCGCTCACGTTATACAGGCATTCCGAATAGAGGGAGAATGCAACCACTTGCAGTCACTAATACAAACAAAACAACGTCTTCCTTAAAAAAATAAACGTACCGTGAAAGCTTACCGTGAAACCAAGGTTCGTAATTGCCTTGCTCGTCAAGTCCAGCTTTATTATTCTTCCGTTCCATGTTAATATACCACTGTATAACTGCATCCTTGTTGGGTGGAACGGCCGAATTGAATTCCCCATACACGACGATATTATCTAAATTTGATGACGTACGTTTGTATGTTTCCCTTGCTTTACGAGCAATTTGTCGAATTTGTTCTTCTGCTTCTTTTGCTTTTCTTTCTGAAATACACACCCGAATTTGATAATTTATTAAGTAAATTATAACACAGTGTTGATGTAGGTACCTTGTTCTTGCCACAAAGGTTCGTGTTTCTTCTCAGCTTCTTCTGCTTCTTTCGCCGTTTCCATTCGTCTCTTTTGGATTTTGTGGTATATTTCATTCGTTCTCGATTCTCGTAATCCTTTCTCCCAAACAGTTATCTTATCTTTTACTTTTTGATTACTCAAATCCCCTGACAGTCTTTTTTGAAGCAGAATTTCTTTCGATCCCACCGTATTGTACTTTTTACTTTGGAATTTTTTATTGTAATCGTCCGATTTTCCCCTAAGTTCGTCTACAGAGCAGTAAATGTCAAATTGCGAGTTATCTTCTGCTTTTTCATTATCCTTATCTATTACGTCTATGTCGTCAATTTTTGAATTTAATCTTATATAATCCGACAGTATTTGCGCTTCCATTTGCTTTCGAAGTTCGACTGTTTCTTGTTCTGCCAACTGACGAGCTTTTTCGATCGCTTCTTCTCTAAGGATTTCATCTATGCTTTTGTCATTTTCATGTTCGCCCATCACCCAAACCCACGGCTCACCATCAGCCCCATGCATGAAAGACACCGACTTACTATTTCTTGGTAATGCAGACTTCTTTTTAGCAGTATTTTCCTCTTCCTGGTTTGTTTCTTCCTCCCACAGTTTCCATCTTCTCACTTGTTCTTCGCGCATCTTACAGAATAAAGTTTGCTTCTGTTCCTCGTCCAGTCCCGCAAGAATTTCGGGATCGACCCACATATCCCTCAGAATTTGCTGCAGCATTATTGCAGGTGCTGATAAATAATTAAAAAAGTATGTACAGTATTTTATTTACTTGACTGCTTTTAATTTTTGCACACATTGTGTTTATCAGTTGATTAAGCAACTGTGAAAGCGAATAAAATAATTGATCTTGCACGGTTTTGACTCAAAAAAAAAAATTGGATCCTATTTCGCTACTACTATTTCGGAAACAATTATGTAAATAATCGTTTGCATGAATAATCAACATTACACGATGTGTAATTTACTTTTGTTTTTGTTTTCGGTTGGATAATTAATAATAAATACAACATACGCTATAACTAAACGGAAGGTAGTAGTAAGTAGGCTGTGTAAATTTCTTTTTCTCTNTCTTGCACGGTTTTGACTCAAAAAAAAAAATTGGATCCTATTTCGCTACTACTATTTCGGAAACAATTATGTAAATAATCGTTTGCATGAATAATCAACATTACACGATGTGTAATTTACTTTTGTTTTTGTTTTCGGTTGGATAATTAATAATAAATACAACATACGCTATAACTAAACGGAAGGTAGTAGTAAGTAGGCTGTGTAAATTTCTTTTTCTCTTTTGCTTTTCGGGAAACAAAATAAATTTTTTGTTATCAACACAATATAAATTTTATATCTATTAAATTGGGTTGCTGATTGTCTAGATATATTTCGCGACGGTTTATTATAAATAAAGAAAGACGGCAACGAAACGACGCATTTTACAGTTTTATTACTGTTATATGACACTGCAAATATCTCCTTTACTGTTACTTAATACATTTAAAGAATCTAGGTACAGTCATATACGCTTTAACACAAAATAATATTCTTTTACATGTACTATTACGTTATTACGTAAAACAAAAAACTGACAGATATATTGATTAAAAAAGAAAAACAATTGGACATTTAAATTTTAGTATACCTGCATATAAATTGTAATACGTATTAACAACAAATTGTTTTTTTATTTCAAGAATAATTCGTAGATGTGTACATCCAGTTATTACATCAGCGTTAAATTGTATGACATCATTTAAATAAAATTTCAGCCCGCGAGATCCGAGACGTGAATAATAAAATTGTTTATTGTTCGAATAGACACGAACATTATATCACACTATACTAACTACCTAGGCGCATCTCTTGTTTTATCGGAAATAAAAAGTTAAACAAACGTGAAAAATTTAATATACTATCTATTCAATTCCATTTCAGGCTAATTATAATGAAGATACAACATAAGCAGATAAAAATGAAAATTAATTATGTAATAACTTTTTTAATTAAAATGCCCGAAGTACAATGACCCTATAAATTTACAAAATAACACGATAGATATTTTGAAAAAGTGAACTATATGTATACATATATTTTTGAAGATATTCGTACTAAACATTGTCGAAATTGTTTATTAGTTACTGTTGGTTATCAAGTTATCATCAATAAAACTTGTGTACAGAATTATTAATACTAACTATGTATATTGTATAATATAACTAAGATAGTGCTTTTATCTTTTGAGGCGTGAAGCGGATTATTTTACGAATATTTTTTCAAAAAACAAATTTAAATTTGGTACCTACTTTTAATTTTAACGTAGGTAGATACAGTACATTAAAATATATATTAATAAGTGCATACCTCTCTATCATAAAATCCTTTCTTTCTCTCTATTATGCCGCACCCTGTAGTTGTACTTGGTTCACAAAAAATAATTTATTATTATTATAAGTCGCCTGCATAATAATATAAAAAACATTTTTTAAATCAATCTTTTGTTATACGAATATCTCATACACAACCACTGTTAGTAAAAACAAATTTATTTTTTATGTGGCGTCAGTAAAAAAGTAGAAGTTTAGCGCCCGGTTAATACACCACAAAGCACATATGTAAAGTTATGTACTGTATAATGTAATAAACAATGTTTTTTGAGATCGTCAAGATTCGAGAATACGATTATTTTACTCGGAGAACGAAAGAACACGATTTGGTGCTTAAGAGGGGACATAAAACAATATATTAACACTTTGTTTTTTACATTTATTCATTTATTTATTACATTTTACATGTGTGTACAAAGCAAGTTCAAATATGCAACATTTATATAAAATATTCTCAGAGGTTTCACTATTTATTTAAAAATTAAAGAATAAATAAAACAATAATTATAATTTTTTAAATATCTCTATTTCATCTCGTAAAAAAATTAAAATTAACACTATTGCTTTTGATTTTTTACACAATCGTACTTTTGTAAACTTTTTGTAGATATTCGTTAAGTATATCAGTGCCTATGTAGAGAAATATAATAATACCTAGTGCTTTAAATAAAAAAACACTTTTATCGACATATCAAATTATAAGTTAATTGTTTCATCGACATTGTCATTGGAATTGAATTCTGTTAAACAATTAGCTTATAAACATTTTGTTTATAGGTAATCCTAATGTATTTTATTGCACCTTCTTCTTCATTAGGTGTCGACGTGTCGGAAGTTTATTATCAATATTAAATTGCAATATTATGGTAAATAATTTTTCACAATCCAATCATTTCAAAAATTCATAATGTTTAGAGTCAAAGCAAAGCAAATAGTTTCTAATGTTTCCAAAATGTGGAAATGTATGAATAATTTCAATCAAATAAATTCAAGACACCTTTCTAAGGGGTAAGTACTATTAATAATAATAGTTTATATATTATATTTAACTTAAAGTCATTAAATAAGATGAAATTTAAAACTTCCAATGTAATAATAATATTTGTCGAACGCTGAACATATATAAACTATATTAAAGTTAAATAAAATAAAAGTAAGTATTTGCGTAAAGTTGCGCATGTTTGTAATGATTAAGTACATCCAGCTTCCGCAACGTCCGCTCTCAAACTGACGCGCAAATGCGCGCAAAAAGAAATGGCCGCGTTATCCCCACCACCTTCGTTCATCCCTCTAATCTTGATATAATTGAAACGTTCACGCATTTATCAATTTTTTATGTAATCTAAACTTAATTAAATACATATACAGTTAAAATAAATATACTTTTTGAAAAATTACAATTTCGCATTCTTTTCCAACCAAAGAGATCTTAGACCTGGCAACGCTGGTGTATACATACACTCTGAGCGCTGACATCTGTTTTTTTAAATTGGTATCATATCATTCATGAAAGATGTTATAACCTCAATTTAAATCTTGAAATGGAAAATTCACAGTAAGTAATAAACAATGATTTATAAAAATTGTAAAGCTAGGAATATATTAGATGTTATTACAATTTGATAATGACATTCTTTTAAATTAATAAAATAGACAAATTTGTCTTTTATTTAACATACCTACCCACATAGATGGGTGGTAAAAGTACAAAATTTTTAAATGTCGTTAAACAGCAATTTATTTGTCGTTTTAATACGTCTACAATTCATTGGGGGTATGTAAGCTAACACTTAAAACCATTAAATATTTAAACAATAATTTCTCATTGCATTTTTTTTAGAAACGAAGCAGTATTACTGGATGGTATTAAAACATCAAGAGAAATTCTGAATGAACTTAAGCAAGAAATTCAAGAATGGGTTGAGGGTGGTCATAGGGCCCCCAGTCTTGTAGCAATACTAGTTGGAAATGACCCTGCAAGTGAAACCTATGTCGGGAAGAAAATGGATGCTGCACAAAAAGTAGGCAAGTACATCTTATTATTAATTTTAGTTTGTTGAATAACATATTTAGTACTTGTAGTTCATGTACATGTGAAACTTTAATTAAAAGGAAATTCTGTTCTGTAGGAATCCAAAGCAAAACTGAAAGATTTTTGGATACTATTAATGAAGAATATTTAATAGAAAGGGTTACAGAACTGAACAAGAATCCAGATGTAGATGGAATTTTAGTCCAGTTGCCTTTGCCACCAAACATAAGTGAAGAAAGAGTAGTAAATACAGTTGCCCCTAATAAGGATGTAGACGGTTTTCACACAGAAAATTTGGGAAAATTAAGCAAAAACATGAACACATTAGTTCCCTGTACAGCTGCTGCTGTCATTGAAATAATTAAAAGGTTTCTGTGCTTGTTTACTTGTACCAAACCTTTAAAAAGAACTTTTTTAGGTATAAAATTGAAACTTTTGGCAAAAACGTAGTGGTTTGTGGACGTTCTAAAAACGTGGGTCTACCTATTGCTAGTATTCTGCATTCTGATGCAAAATATGACCTGCAAGGTATGGAAGCTACAGTGACACTATGCCACCGTAATACACCTCCTGTAGACTTGGAATTTTACTGTAAAAATGCTGACATTATTATCAGTGCCACAGGTAACACCACTATATTTATATTTATGTTAAAATAAAATGAAAATAATTTCTCGTTTAGGTGTTGTGGGTCTTATAAAGGCGCCGATGGTGAAACCAGGGGCTTGTGTAATCGACGTCGGTATTACACGAATACAAGATGAAAATGGTCGTACTAAAATTGTAGGTGATGTTGAATTTAATGGTATGCAATGAAGGAGTTGTTATTGTTTCATTTTATTCGTTTATTTATTTTATTTTATTCCTTATCACACAGGTGTTAAGCAAAAAGTAAAGTACATAACTCCTGTGCCTGGTGGTGTGGGCCCAATGACTGTTGCGATGCTAATGAAAAATACATTCAAAGCTGCTAAACTTCGTGCAATGCAATGAGAGCTGGCTCTCTTATCATTTGGTATTATTATCAAGTATTATTTTATCAATTCTGCAACTTTTTTTTTATTGCTTAGTAGTATTCCTTGTTATTTTTGTTGACCTACAAGTATAAAGTTTGTGTAGTTCATTAGCTATTTTTGAATAATATCAATGATGGTGTAGTATTAGCAAAACATACTTTTTTTTAATTACATAAAAATGACCAGTGGGGACTAATATGAACGTACAGGACTTGTAAATTGTCATGTAAGCTCCTTATTACGTTGTTTGATTAAATAAACGAATTATCATTGATTAACCTTTCATAGCTGTAGTATAGAACTTCTGAAATTAATTTATTGTATATTCTTTCTAAATAATTATAAAAACATTAACATAATGTTTTTTTCTATAATTTTTCATTTAATTTAAAGCAGCAAAAATNTAACCTAACCTAACCTAACCTAACCTAACCTAACCTAACCTAACCTAAATTTTTAAATTTGATATAACATAAAATAATGGAAAAATTAAGTAAATATAAATCCAACAACATAAAATTAATAAGGATTAATATTTTTATTATTGCATAGAAGTCCGGTGTCTAAACTTTATTTTACATTTTGATATGTTACTTATGCAACCCATATATCATATTTAAATTCTATGTTGCATAAACAGATTTTTCCCAAAATGTCATTTTTGTCAAATTATTGTTATCAATTTAAAAAAAATTGATAACATTTTGTAGAAAGTAAATGCTAATGTATCCTTCATTCTTTCTTCGTTATGTAAACGTTTTCAAATTTATTTAGGCATCCATGTTTTTGAAGAAAAATTACATAAATTTATTTAACCTCACAGTAAGTCAAATAATTAGGAAAAGAATTACATTTTCAGCCCCAGCAGCTTTATATCATCACAGAGTTTACGATATGGAAAAAAAACCAGACCATTCCGTTTTTATTACAACCAAAATTGACGAAGAAGCCAAAAAAATTCTTAAGGATGCGTAAGTACATTACATCTTGAATTAACATACTGAAATCGTCATCGAAATCTCAGTCCCTGTTTGTTAGCTTACTTTTTTTTTCCTTTAGATTATTAGAGCGATTAATCAATTTTATTGTAGCAATTTTGATGTTCATGAATGGACAGCCCCTGAACCCATACCAAAAAACAACCTTATTCGTGAATTAGAAGGAAAAGATGCACTATTTTGTACACTGAATGATAAAGTCGATGACGAAGTATTATCAAAAGTAGGGACCAAATTGAAAGTGATAGCTACAATGTCCGTTGGTTATGATCATCTCTCCCTTAAGGATATTAAAACACGTAACATTAAAATAGGATACACACCAGGTATTTTGACTGAAGCCACTGCTGAACTAACACTGGCTCTTTTGCTGGCAACTAGCAGACGTCTTTTTGAAGCAAACAATGCAGTTAAAAATGGAGAGTGGCATGCATGGGCCCCATATTGGATGTGCGGTCCAGGTATTAAAGGATCCACCATTGGAATAGTGGGTTTAGGGAGAATAGGACAACAAGTCGCCAGATTGATCAAACCATTTAACCCAAAATCTATTATATTTTACTCCAGATCATTGAAAGAAGTTCAATCAAAAATTCTTAACTTGGTTCAAGTTGATTTTGAGACCCTTTTGAAGGACAGCGATTTTATAATCCTTACATGTGCATTAACAGATGAAACAAAAAACTTGTTCAATGATAAAGCATTCAGTAAAATGAAGAAAAATGCAGTTTTCATAAATACAAGCAGGGGAGGTATCGTCGATCAAGGGGCACTTGTTAAAGCACTTAAAAGTAATCTAATTTTTGGAGCTGGTTTGGATGTTATGACTCCAGAACCTCTGCCACTCAATCATGAACTGCTCCAATTAAAAAATTGTGTAATTCTGCCCCATATTGGAAGTGCTGCTATCCAAACAAGACAAGAAATGGCTAAAATTACTGTTCAGAACATTATAGCCGCTATTAAGGATGAACCAATGCCTAGTGAATTAATAGTAGATTGTTAATTGTAATTAAATTGTAATTATTGAGTTTGGTAAGGTTTTTTCTTTGAATTTACAGGTTTTTAAAATAGACAATAACATTGATTATAAATTGTAGATAAATATATTTTTCTATGCTTAATAGATTGTGTTATAATACATATAATTAATAAAATAAAACATTTAAATCAACATTGTAAATGTAAAATGTAAATAAAATATTCAATAAAACGTGCAGAAAATATTTTTGTATTCTAAAACAGTNAATGATAACGTCGAAAAACAAAAATTGAACACCCTCAAGCATACGAACACTGAGTTACCAAGGAAAACAAATTCATGTCGCATGTCATAGTAACAATTATACCTCTCTAACGTAATCGGCTATTTTATTATATATTGTACTAGTGCTTAAAAACATAATGAAAAATGACTGTAAGCATAAAAAATCGAAATACGACAAAGGCTCTTAGTCTAATTTTAAATACTAACTGAAGGTAAACTGTTCAAATGCGCATCAGTCTATTTTGTTGCTCGATCCGAATAGTATTTCGTCTAAAATAGAAACTCAATGACAATTGTGCGCGAGGCAAGTTTAATTTAATTTCATTTTATTTCCTTTCAATAGTCTCGTAAACAGCATCCCCTCGGGGGTAAGTTTAAAATAGAAACGGTCAAATAGTGCGCATACAAAACTACAATGATTTTCTTACTTTAAAAAAACTAATGTTTATAGCTGAATAAAAACAAAAATTTGAGTAATTCAAATTTAAACGTACGTTTTCAGTGTACGTTAAGATTCTGTACATAAGCGACAATTTTTATGAGATATGAACAATATTTAACGCAAGTTAGTATAAATATTTTAAGTAGATAAAACAGAATTCAAAACAAATATATGAAATATCATTTATAAGTCGTTTGTGATCATCATCATAAGGTCCTCAAGAGCGCACACGAAAATCTGAACTTTTGTATTAGGAGAGCATAAGTGAGGTCGGGTGTTTTTGAAATTTACCGGATTTTCTTAACATTTAGTGTTATTATTATTGTTTTAAGTTGAATATTTTAAGATGCGTTCATTGATACTGATTTAAATTAAATTGTGGTTTTTGAACTGATCGAAAGTTAAAATAAGAGTTTTTCTTACTTGAAAGTGATATAAAACTGGAAGAAGAGATGTAGAATATTTTATTCTAATTGTTAATTGGTATTTTTACAATAAATAACTAAAAATTAATTATTTAAAATTTATAACATTATTGAACACTACTAAAACAATGGCGACTGTTTGTTTACTTCGAAACAATACATAACCTCATTATTTGTTGCTATTTCTTTTTAGTTTTTCTTTAGAAAATGTAAGTAAATATTTTAAAAAGTTATCTAGTAAGCAAAAATAAGTATGTATTTCACTCAGCATGATTGTTTAAGTGCAATTAATTGTTTAAACAACAAAGAATATGTTTTTCTTCTGTAGGTTCTCATCCAACAGTTCTTCTAAGACATAACTAACAAAAAAGGACGTTTCCAATGAATCTGGACGATTGAATGAGCTTCCATAGACTCAAATTACCCTATTGTAATAAGAACATTAATTATTATTCACTAAAATTACAATTCTGTAATTCTCATGCCACTTTACGCACATTCCCCAACAAGCACAAGTAAAAGATTTTTCGGGTAATGCATCAATAAATATAGTAATATTATAATAAAAATTGAAGTGTAAGCTGTATATCATGTTATAATTAATAATTTAGAGGACGTAGTACGTTTCGAATACTTATATCTGCAAATAGAATGTAGCATACATATTTAACTGCAGTGTGTACTATCAAACAATGTTTTGTCGTGGTAATAATGTGTATAATTCAAGAAATAGAAAATAATGAAGGTATCCCGGAGAAAATGGTATCATTACTCACTTCGAATACCTCAAAGGTTTGGGTGTGTATGTTCTTTAACTACAGTTTAATTATATAAAACTGCACTTGTAGATTTAGAAGTTGCATGTTACCAAGAAAACTATTAATGAACAGTGCAAGACAATAAATGAACATATCATGCAGAGAATGGTACTCCAAAAGGATTTAAAATGAAAAATAATGAGATTCACTTTTATGTAGTACAATTGTTCATAATAAACAGAAATTAAATTGTATTATTTAGAATTAATCATGTGCAATAAAACTATTGTGTGAAATTCTTTTAAATTCCTTACCTTGCTTCTTACATTAATTTCTCTGTATAAGAGCTGGTAGTTAGTGACTAATATTTTCTTTTCCCTCTGTTCTTCCTTCTTAGTAGTTATTTACGAATTATTATAATAAAAATACTAAGTTAACAAATAAATTAGCAAATATATTTGATGATGAAATTAATAAAAAGCTCATAAGATGGTCTAATTACTAAGAGTCCAGAAAAATATATTTAATTACTCATCAGCTCATAAATTCTATTTGCAGCTTGTAAATTAATTGTGAAAATAAAATGACAAGGTCTCCTATATACAGAACACGATTAAAAAGTAATTTGTTAAATTAAGTGAAATATTACATTTTTATAGTCCTTTATAATCTTAATTTTTTTTTTCACTTTTTAAATGATAAAGGCTACAAGAAATAATAATCAAATTATAGTTTATTATAAAAGAATAATAAAAATTACAAGCACGATGCGAGGGAAATAAATAATAAGTAAATTTTGGACGAATAGCAATGAGATATGCAGAGGAAAAGACCGATGTCACTTTGACTCTAAATAGTAATTAAATAAATTAACCGTCCTTTTAAATGTTGCAACAAAGTTTCGGTACAATATTCATTATCAACAATTACAATAATATATTATCATCATCATCATTATTATTTTAATTATTAACAATCAATCATCCAATCTAATCATCAAAACAATAATTTTTTGTTTAAAAAATCCGTCCATGCGCTTGCTTCTATTACAGCACATTTGATAGAAGATACACTGCGATGATTCTACTGTTCGGTTGTACACGTTTGTCTGGTAATTGGTTGTATTATTTGTATGTATGCCTGTTTGTCATTGCCGTATTAATTTGATTTTATTACTCTTTTTTTTAAATCATTATCATTTTATATTATTTTCGTCGTTGTTGTCATTATCATTCCCACTCTGTCGTGCCCGGTGGTTTTGATGTCAGATCGTACAACACTCGCGAAATACCTGGCACTTGCAGCAGCTCCGTTACAATCTTTTGAAGGACCTGGGGACAATTAATTAATTAAATATTCATCGTGATTCTATAATAAAATCAAACGAAGTTGAGAGATTTTAAAAATACGAATTAAATGACATTTAAACCATTAACGAGGAGTCTATACTATAGGGACGGGGTGTGAGGGAGGTCACACTAGTGAATCTAATAGTTGGGTAGGACAGCAAAGAGTAAATGTTTAATACCAAACAGAAAAGAATGGATTACAAACTGAATATACTTGAATAATAGGCAAAGAGGAAACTAGTGTAATCTACTGCAGTTTTTGCTTCTGTGGATATTTGGTTGCATAACATACTGATAATCGATATGTTTAGGATACAGCTTCTCTTAGTACACAGTTTTAAGAACCAAATATAGTTACATTTTTTAAACTTTACTAAATACCTTTGTTAAAGCATCATCAGTTTCGTTTTGCTTGCACTTTTAATAAGTTAATGAGCTTTATTTTTTTAATTTAAATTTATTAATAAAATGTTTCATAAAGAACCATCAAAATACATTACAAGTTATTAAAGGTGCAAGAAACACAAAATTGATGGTGTTTTACCAAAGGTGCTTAGTGAAGTTTATAATGTGTTCTAACCAGAAGGGTAAACTTAGTCGTTCAATAACCACAAAAACTAACTAAACTTCTTGAATGCACTCTTCAATTTAACTAACTCTACTGAGAAATGAGATGTGGGATCTAATTTTAATTCGCTAATAACCTGAATTAATCTGCGATTGGGATAGGGACTGCTACCTAATTGTCTTTGTTTTTGTATACTTCTATATTTTTGAAAATAACTAAGAGGAATGGATTAACACTTTTAATTAAATTTAAACTGGGATCTATTTCATGGTTATTGTTAAACAATTTTTATATTTAAAACTGTAAATTCCTGCTTTTTTTTTCTTTTATCTTTTGTATTATCTGGTAATTTGATCTTATGAAAGCAAAATGTTGGATTTTATTGTTAATTTATCTTAATTCTATTAATAAATATAAAACTCACTTCTAAAGGTATTTGTTTTCCTGGTATGGCAGGCACACCGGTCATAAAATCACGAGTACAAAACGGTCGGAGCACAACTGACCTCTGACACGAAGGTATTCTTAAAGCTTGATCTCGATCAAAATGAATGGGAAGAAGAATCACAGGCATTTGGCTCACTGACATCATCGAACCACTACTCTGAAGGATCTATCGAAAAAAAAAGAAAAAAAGAATTATACTATTAATTTAAAACAACTTGTGCAAATTAATAGAAAAAATGAAATTACAAACAGTCCATTTTACCGATTCATTGAATGAATTCCATGAATTTTATAAGACCATTTTCAATAGCATATAAAAGATTTTAAGAAATGAAGGGATATTTAGAAGCAAAAACAGGAGTAATGAGCGGCAGAGGAAGACTTAGATTAGATTATTGTTCACAAATATTAGGAATGTGCGAAGTTCTAGTTTTCGGAAAATGAGATGATTAGCTCATGATAAGAAAGAATGGAATGTGGTGATGACGTATTAATTGATGTTCGGTAATTTAATTAATTTATTTTCCATTTACTCACCCCCATCGCGATATCGTCGACTTGTCGAAGAGTGCTTAGAACGATGCTTGTTAGGTACGTGGGTGTCAGGTCGGGTATGCACTCTTTGACGAGGCCCCCGAATATATAACACACCCTGTTGACGTTATGACATATGCGGGGTATGAGACGGGCGAGGAAAAACAAATCATCCCAATCGGGCTCATGTTCGCTACTTATGCCAACCACATAACTATAAGAGCGACAGTCACCCTGCACCCCTACACTACGAATGGGTAACAATGTTGCTGCCAGCTTCTGTTTGCTTGATATTCGACGTAACGTCAGTCTGTCATAAAAGAATACATTTTTTATTTTGTATAAGAATAAATGTATAAATGGTTAATGTAGCGTTTTAATATGTGAGCAAGAAAGTAGCCCTGAATCTGGTTCTTTAGAATTCAGGAGTGTTCTACTGGCATCCGTTTGATTTTGGAGGATGGTATCAGTGACTAACTTTTTGAGAAAAGTGGGTCACTTTCTTAATCCTCCGAAAAATTTTAATAATTCAGTAAATGAGAGAATAAAATACTTTTACTAAATCCTAACACATACTTTAAACTACATTAAATGGATACCTTTCTTCTTCTGTTGTCACGACTCCCTCCACCCTGTTAAGCAAAGCGTGTTTTTTTTGTAACATTTGGTCGAATTCGACTATGATTTTGACAAGAACCTGTGTCTCTGAAAAATCCCGTTCCATGTACGGTTCCTCGCCACACAACACCCTGATGGCTAACCCAGGACCAGGGAACGGATGCCTCATCACAATCTCATGAGGCAATCCTAGATCTTTACCTTAACAATAAATTATACGTTGTAAAGTTAATTTAATAAATTAATTTTTCAAAATTATCAATTAGTTACCTATTTGTCTGACCTCATCCTTATGAAAGTCCTTTAGTGGTTCGATTACACGCCCATCCTCCCTCAATTTCCTTATTAGTTCCGAGTCATTATGGTGCGTTTTTATCACGTCAGCTTTGCTCGATGCAAGACAGGATGCGGATTCGATAAGATCGGGTCGCAATGTTCCCTGGGCAAGTAAAACGTCCTCGGGTTTCAATTTGAGTTCGGCCACAATTTCGGTCGTGATGCGAACAAAAACGTCACCTATAATTTTTCGCTTTTCTTCAGGATCAGCTGTCTGGCAGAGCATCTTTGTGATGCGAGTGCGAGAGTTGAGCTCGTGCTTGTCTATCGGCACAACCGTTGTTCCTTCGTAAAACGCAGGGGTTGCATTTATCACTTTCAAATCGAGTCCTATTTTGCGGAGAGACATTGCCACTTTGACACTCTCCAGTTTGCGCATGAATCCATTATCTATATGAATTGCAATTACCTGGTCCGGCTGAAGCGCTTTAAAGTAACGAAAAATTATATGGATATTGATTAGTAGTTGTTAATTTTATAGAAAATACTATTATTATTAAAAAATAGGAAAGTATAGGAGTATTAGCACCAAGGAGACAGCTTTATATTCAATGGAATCAGCATTGATAGAAAAATATGGAATGAAAATAAATAGTAATAAATATATGTATTAGTATGCAGCG